CACCATCCTTCTCTCCTCTATTAGTTTTCAAGTGTCCGTAGTGAGCCACTGTTTGTCCTGTCTCTTCTTTCTACCTAGAACTTCCATGCAGGTTTGACTCCACACCGTTTTCAAGTTGTGTCAGTGCTTTTCGATGCCGACCTCTTCGCTAATGTTGATTTGTGTCTTGGCTTTGTCCCTTATGTTTGCAATGAAGATGTCCTTTGTAGCCTGGTCCTTCAGTTTTTGAGTGTTGAACTTGGCTTGCGGTCTATCTTCAGCTCGTGATACTCTGAGAGCTTTTAATTTGATTTGGACTGTCCCTTGTACGAGATAGTGGTCTGAGCCAACGTCTGCTCCTCTTCTTACTTTTGTATCCAGTAGGCTACGCCTCCACTTCCTTGAGATTGAGATGAAGTCAATTTGGTTTTTGTTTTGCCCATCTGGTGACACCCACGTGGCCTTGTGGATATCTTTGTGTTTGTATACGCTGACACCAATCACTAGTTTGTTGAAGGCGCAGAAGTCAGCCAAGAGTTCTCCATTTTCATTCATTTCTCCGAGAGCTTCTCTACCCATGATCAGTTCCCTTCCTGTGTTGTCTGGTCCCAGTTTGACGTTCATGTCTCCCATTGGTATTTTAATGTCACCAGCTGGAGCATTGTTCATTGTTGCCTGTAGTTGTCTGTAGAATTCTTCTTTCTTTTCGAGGTCTGCGTTGTTTGTGGGTGCATAACATTGTATGATTGACACTTTCCTTCCTTTGGAGTTGAATCTGGCGGTCATTATCCTGGACGAGATCGCCTCCCATTGCATGGGGGCGTTTGTTGCCATTGGTGACATCATGATAGCCATTTCCAATTCAGTACAACATTTTTATGCATATTACAACACTTACGCATAATTTCTAAATGTTGTTTTACTGTAAGTTATTTGGTGGATGGTGACTAGCTGTACAATCCAGCTAGATGCGTCCTATTTAGGGATCGTCTTTCAGCCGGATGCACCTACATTCCACAGTGAGTGATGATGTTCCCACAGAGGCTGGAACCCAATGCCCATAATTTCGTCGAAGCATCTGTCTGCATAAAAAGCCGACATGTCAACCTGAGACCGAGCACTTCGGTCTAATCAATCGATGGGAAAATCTAAAATTGATTAAGATATGTGATTCTATTGGTCTTAACAATTCAATATTACAGAAAGATGGCGTAGCTGTGGGGTCTCCTTTTGGTCCACTCCCAGCTGACTGCTTCACGGAGAGTCTTGAAAACAACATCTTCGATACTTCGATAAGTTAACTGCACTTATACAGGAGATACATAGATGAAACGTCCATAATTTGTGATGAAAAAGTTGATTTAGAGTATCTCCTCAAAACTTTCAACGTAGCACACCTATCAATTAAAATTTACCTTAGAAAGTAAATCGAACATGGCATTTCCATTCCTCGATGTACCACTAGTCAGAAGACAAGACTATACAAATCCACTGATCGATATATCTGAAGTTAATATGGACGGGAAAGTTTATCAACTTTCAGAGTTTCATCGCATTGATCCGAAAGCAAAATCTGGTACGTATATTAAGTTTGAGGATAAAAAAATCTGTTCGGAAGACACGATGAAGAAAGAATTGAGTTTATTACGTGAAATCCTACTGGAATTGAACGGGTATCTACCAAGATACATAGACGAAAGCATGAAAAGAAAGCCAAAAAGTCTCCAAAAATTACAACTGTTCCTAGGAAAACTCTCTTCATGAACCTGGAATTCAAATGTAATATCGAAGCAGAAATTCTTAGGAACCACCTTTCTAAATGCCTTAAGAAGACATTTCAAGCAGCCAACCTACGTATTCCATTCTCTAGGAGATAGCTAATCCAGTCTAACTTTAAGAACAAGATACCGCTTTTGGCCACCGCAATATATATCTATTAGTTTACTTGTTCGTGTGTAGCAAAGTATATCGACCGTACACAACGTCAAGTTCGCAAACGTATTCTGGAACCCCACCCAGATTGGCTAGCCGTCCGGAGAAGAAAAGAAGAATACCAGGAGCTCCATTCTTGAACGCTTCATCGACTCTGGACAACGAGCACCTCCACCTACATGAATGCTTCACACAGAGTCCCTCAATATCGCACGAAAGGACTTCGAATACGCCGTCTGTACATAGCTGAGTCATTGGCTATTCAGGATCTGAAACCAGACCTCTGCATCCAAAAGCACTACATACATTCCCTCAGCCTACCGTGGCCAGAGTAACGTTCTCGTTGTAATTTAGCTTCCTTTTATTGTGTAAGTTCACTATTATTATTTTTTATAATTCTCATAATCCTTATTTTATTATCACCCTAATACTGTTTATTAATAAAGATGAGTTTTTATACAGATATTTTATAAAACCCCTTTATCACCTTCCCACTAGTTTCTGTCTACTCTACTTAGTCATATTAATTAGTCATTTTCTCATACTTATTATATCATACCAACTTTTCCCTCTTTTCTAATTTCCAATTAGTTACCCTTTTTAAGACTACACCCTACATTACGCAATACATTTTCGGATGACAAAGTTTGTCAGTATCTGATTGGTCTTATGAATTTTTTGTTAAATATAATTACGATTGTAGAGCAGCTCATGAGAATGAAGTGACGGAAAGAAAATTTTCTTCGCTGTTTAGGTCTACTTCTTTATCTTATAATTCGACATTAGTAATAGCAAGTGTCGATCCTTTCACGGGATACTAAGCAGTAAGTAATTCATGTCATGCGTCTAGACGTAGGCGTTTTCTGAAGACTGAATTCCATCAGTCAAGTTTATAATGTGTTCAGTATACTAGTTAGCTAGGTAACTCGCCGTGTGAGTACATTCTGAATGTTCAAGAGATTTTTGTTTGTAAGGATTAGATTTGTTTATACGCATTTGGCCACGGATTGATATCACCTAGAAAAAGCATTGAAAACCAGTACTGGATTACTGGCCAGCTCTTTCGTCTTGGTTTGGGGATCATCAGCAGTACGCACCCACTGCACTGGGGTTTGAACTCAGGACCTTCCGGTTTCAAAGCAAGCTCGTATACCATTCAGTCAGTAGGGCCCGATTCAATGCCCAGTGCATGGATGATAATTTCTACCAAATTTTGTGATTGAATGCAACTGGCACCAACCAATGTCATCGGTGAGAACTTCATCTTCACACTTAACTAGACGGTCCTCACTGGTAATGACTTCTCACTACTACTTCAGGCGACCTTTCCCTGTAGCAAGTCATTAATGAGCATCACGAATTGGTAGAGGTTATGATTCATGCACTGGCCATTGAATCGGGTCTCAGTGGCTGAATGGTATACCAAACAGCTTGCCTTGTAACCGGAAGGTCCTGGGTTTGAACCGCAGGCGCTGCGTACTTCCCAATAATTCCTAAACTAGTGAGATGAAACAACTATCGAGTACTCCAGTACTGGTTTTCAGTTCTCCTCTAATTGATATCAATCCATGGTCAAACTCGCATAAGCATTTCGAATTGTTGTTATTATTAAATAGTTCTAAGCAGTCAGCAGGAATCTCTTCCAAGACCTACGTTCATTACTTGTTGCTTGTCACTGAACAGTCAAAAAGGCATGCCTATAGTCTTGAAGGGACCCTTGAGGACTGTCTGCATTCGCAGATACTACACTCCCATAGCAGACATCCCTGAATAATCTAAATTCCAATCTAATAAAGAGACCTGTGTGTTATTCCTTCAAGACCAAAGATTCTCCTTGTTGATTAGTGAGGCTAACAACTAAAGCCTCGTATCGATTACCTCCAAAACATCTAAGAATAATGAAAGTAAAACAAAGAAAGACTTTGCAGACTTTTTACGCAAAACCTTTTTTACTACTTTTATCAGTAGTATAAATAAATTTCACAAAAATAATACTGTCCACTACACACACACACCCACACACTCACATACCGACACACCAAACATCGTAGGTTCTTTATCTTTAAGTGGACTTTTAGATCCACGAAGGCATGTTGCTGCAATTTCTACACTAATTGATGCACTGTGCTTTTAAAGAGACGAAATGAAATCCAAAAAAGGCCGGAGGGGGGGTGAGGGGGCTGTTGAAGATGTCTAGTGGAAAGCAAACAAGATGGGTGACAGCATGCATGCAAAATAATATTATTAAGTTTAAGGTCAACTCATTGAAATATGCATATGCACATATATATGTATGTGTGTGTGTATATAGAAATATATAAATACGTGTATCTCTTGAGAAAAGCGCATAGGTAGTCTCTCTCCACATCACTCTCTGCCATGCTCTCTAATGGCTTGAGAAGTTTTGGAGAGTTGAAAAAGACAATTAAAGCATCCCAAAGTCTCTATCATCCACAAGATCAATAGTATCGATTTCCAATATATATGTATATATATTGTCTTGATCAAATTAGATCGGATCAAAATTCAAATGAAAATCAAGGCTAAATCATTAAGTCGAAAGCAAGCCATAACAGCAACCCAAAAAAAGACAAAAACAACCACCACAACAAACAGAGGTTCATCAACAGAAAATAATATTTGGGAAAAACAATTTGATATGAAAAACAGTTTGAAAGATGTTTCTCTATTTCGTATGATATATATATATATATATATATGCGTATTTACTGGTAATTATTGATCGCTTGATAGAGGTATGATAGAGGTGAAACTGAAGAGTTAGAAAGATGGTTCAGTATACGAAACGGAAAACAAGCTCTTTAATGGTATTATTATTATTAATAATAGGATCAATAATAGGAGCATTACTCATAGCTGAGTTATAGCAGTCAAGGAAACTAGAATACTTCTTATATATAAATGAATTTGGCAAAAAGTGGGTGGGGGTGGTTGGTTGGGTGGTGAGGAGGGTCCTTTTAAAAAGCAATAAGATAATAAGTATATTTTTTCTTCGAGAAACAACAACTAGCAGCAACACACAACAGCAATTCGTCGTCACCATCATAATCATCATCATCATCAATTAACTAACTGGTTGTTTGTTGATTGTATAGACAAATTCTAGCTAGAGTCATTGCAATCCAATCAGGTGGTGCTACAGCCTTCAATAAAGAAGTGGTTACTTCCGGCGATGATGCTTGGAATTCATGTTTTGCAAGTTCGTGGAGTTGTTTCATTATTTCATTGATCACGTCATTGATTGATTCACCCTGGTTGATATGTAGATTAGTGAAGAAGGATTTCAGGGTGTTGTTATGCTGATTACTATCTTTTGATGAGTCTTTTTCATGCGTCTCCGACTTTGCTGCTTCGTCTTGATGTGAAGGAGAAGTTTGGTGATTCTGTTGATCGGCGGGATGATGAAGTTTTGCGTACGGTTTGAATATTGTTAAACAATTGGATGCTGACAGGATGAGTAGGATATTTTCTGGTTTCAAATCAAATTCTACTGATCTGTTGATGTCATGCGGTACTTCTTGTGGTGGAGTAGTGTTGTGTAAGCATTCACTTAGACTTAGTAGAACGCCTAGTTTTATGCAGTTCACGAGTATTTGTATATTAATGTCTGGTTGTTTCTCCTTATCGTCTAGGCTTAATATACTTTTCAGGCTTGTTGCCATAAATATTGAGTGTAATATCTTTTCGTCAGATGATGCTTTGGCTTTCTGGTCGAGTGTATTCGTCTTGTGGCTGGCATTTGTAGTTGGAGTTGGTGATTTTGTGGTTTGGTTGTCTAACCAATTGGTTAACAGTTTGTCTATTGTTTTTTGAGTATATTTCAGCTTATTTGAATGAATATTTGATTCTTTCTGTAGGTAAGGGAAATATATAAATAAAAAGGGAACTTAGTAATGATAATAATAGTATTTAGCATTTAATAATAATAATAATAATAACAATTTGCTTTATTCCAAAGCAGTACTTGTGATACAGAATGGAATTCTCAGGATTTTACTACAGTATATTGCATCCAGCTAGTACATTAATAATAAATAAAATTCTACATAGATTAAGGGTAATCTCGGTTAGTTTTGACAACAACAGATTAGCATGTCGATAGCAAAGCCAAAATTGAACAGAATGTTTGAAGGTGTTAGAAAAGTAGATACTACTAGCATATTTACTGGCGTAAGCGATAACACAAAGGTCGAGATATACACAGTGTGAGACAACGAAGAAGAATGTTTTAAGTAGATTTTGTAAGGAAGAAAGAAACAAAGCTGCACATAACAGAAAAAAGAGAGAGAGAGAAAAGGAAAAGAAAGGAAGAAAAACGTTGTACCCATGTAAATGATATGAGTTCGAAAGACGAGATCCAGTTGTTCTACTGACTATTTAATAAGTTATAGGTATCGCGCCTAATGCTTTCTTCATCGCACAGAACACGAGCTAAGTAGGGTAAGGTTGAGTTTTTGTACTTGCTAATGCGAGCATACAGTTTTCTATAGAGGCTTCTGGTCTGCTTGCCTGAAGAGATATGAGGGGGAGAGTTGTGAAAACAATAATAATAATGGTTATGTCGCTACTCTGGACAATCCATTTTTAATACAGAGAAAATATTCATTCAGACATTTATAAAACGCAAAAGAATTGTGCAAAGAATATCCTTGTCGATAATTTTTCCCTCTTCTGGCTCGACAATTATATATGTATGTTTATATACATAGAATATTCCAGAATAGTAGTCAATAACAATATTAGTATGCTTTTTAAATAATATCGATTTGTTAAGTAAGATCACAATGAAATTTCAGTTCATTAAAGATGCTTAATTTATGATAAGCATAAAAATATGACAACAAATAGAATGTCAACTAAAATTATATAAATTCCACAAAAATTCTAGATCATTCAAACCTGGATGGCCAAAGTAAGGATGATGTCTGAACGCATAAATTAAGCTTCTTAATGTAGATCCCAAAAGCCAGCGTCAGCAATATGCAGTAGACGAACTCTTAAGGCGGAGCTAAGATTAGTTGGTATATGGTAATTGACTTTGAAATCCTGGTTCACATTAATCTTGTGTTCTGTATCCACGAGATGGGACAGAATAGCTTCATGTGAATGGATTTTGTTTGTCCTTTACTTAACCAACCACTGTGAAGGATGATGTTCGGATATCCGACGACAAACACGTCTAATTGTACAGCCTATGCAACTAACTGGCTCACTCCACAGGAGAAGTTAAATTGGTAGATACCACGCACATAGAAGTGGTGAAATTAGGCAGTTTATCTTTCACACCCAAACACAAAAGAGGAGCGGTTTTGAAGACACAGCATAAGTCAGCAATAGGAAATGCTCTTTTTACCACATTTCTAAGGCGTTGTGTTAGTATCTCGATGATGTTATCCCCGAACAACAGGAGTTGTAAGATTCAGGCCTTTTTCGCAACTGTTGGTACTTTGGACTGTCTGGACCTTTTATTCATATTCTTATCGGTTAATTTAATTTTTATTCTTTATTTACAGCTTGATTCCACACCGTATTTTTGGTACAAGTATGGAATTTTCAGCATGTGATATCGGTAGCCCAGATTTTGCAGGCCGACGATAGATATCAGGTGCGCGTCGGCCGGGGATCAAATCCCGGACCATGTGCATGGTCGGCGAGAGTCCTAACCGTTTTCACTCAGCAACTGATTAATGGTATTAAGCTCTTCATTGAGACATTCATTAGAGTAGATTATTCTTGCTCTGTGACAGACCAAGCACTTTATTAGATTGCGTTTTTATTTCAAAGGCATGAAGCTGAAAAAAAATGAGTATACTGACTAGGTGATGTAGGTTTTCTATATAAACTTTTGCTTATTATACCGTCCTCTTTTTAGGATTATAACTGCGGATATTCCTGATTGTGATGGACTGGGTAGAGGTTGATAAGACAGATATACGCTAGACTGGTATTATTATTCCCTTGAGTTCCAAGTGAAACATAAGACTTCAACAAATAAAGCTTTACTTTCTCCTATCTTCTGCCGTCATCTTCAACTCTCTGGCTCCACAACTGCCCACAATCTCTCATCTCCTCCTCACAAGATCTCCTCCATTTTACCGTAGGACACCTACTTGTCTCTCCCCGTTGGGATTCTATTGTGGGATCTGGAGGGCGATGTCATTTGTCGGTCTCCTCATAGTATACCTGATCCATCTCCATTTTTTCCTGCATATTTTTCCATCGATTAGCTTTCACCTGTTCGTTTATTCCACTGCAGAGATTTTCTTGTTGCTAATTCTTTCTCGCCAACCATTTGATCTCTACAGTATGAAGCCAGTGAAAGTGACAACTATTGATGAAAGTCTGCAGTTGCCTGTTGGAAATCCTCTTCTTGACACTCCGGCCAAGTTTCTAACCCTTTATGGAAGCACCCACTTGACATAGGTGTTGACAATGAGAATCTTGTTCTTTATGCTTAGTGTAGAAGAATTCCAAGCTGGTTTCAGATTGATGAAGGTGTATCTTGCCTTTCCAAATACTGGCTGACTTGTTTTGATATCTTCATGTGTTCCGACTGCCTGTTGATATAAGTATAAAACTTGGGCACTGTGGTAACTCCATTATGGATAAGATTTTATTTTGATAAATCACACACAGTGTTGTTACACAGTAATATTAACTGATGCGATCACGTTTCGAGCACAAACTATTGTCACCCATAACCATATCAAGGTGCTTACTCACACAACTTTACCCTTCATTCATATACGTGTGTGAAGTTGACTAGATATTGGAATAAAAATCATTATAGGATAATGTACATTTCGACCACGACATTGGAACATTCTGTTAGTTCTACCTATATAGGTGTCACCGCAGCTGCAGGTGAACTTGTAGATACAGTTTGAAGTAGAGTCCACAGAATTTCGTCCTTTATTAATCGTAGGTACAGGGATCGAAAATGTTCGGCAAGTGAGAAAAAGAGATATGGCGGCGTAGAATGTGCCTATCCAGTATAAACGTTCCCTGGTGAAATGTTTGTTCTCAAGGGCTCGAAAAATATGTACGAGTGACACATTGATGGATGAGCTTCGATATATACATTCAGTTTTACTAGCCAATGGTTATCCAGAAAACTTCATCAATTGTCACGGTAAGGATAGACCACATCTTGAAAAGACAGCTACTGTACCAAAGAAAGCCATCTTTATTAATCTATCATTCAAGGGCGACCAGATTATGCAGTTGACAGCTAGCTCAAAGACTTAGGTCAGCCATCAAACGCACATTCTACGCCGCATCCCTTTTTCTCACTTGCCGGACATTTTCGATCCCTGTACCTACGATTAAAGGACGAAATTCTGTGGACTCTACTTCAAACTGTATATACAAATTCACCTGCAGCTACGGTGACACCTATATAGGTAGAACTAACAGAATGTTCTAATGTCGTCGAAAAGAACATGTTCCAAAATGGCTAATAAATCACATCGAAAATCCCAACGCGATTAATCTTAGTAGAAATCCAGCATCATCCATTGCAAAACACTTATTAATGTCAGGTCACAAAATAAATATTAATCACTGTTTCACAATTATTTCACCACATAACTCTAATTCAAGGATGGTTATTGAAGGTGATGGAAGCACTTTGGATTAATCACATACAGCCTAAACTGTGTGTACAAAATACAATAGACTTCAATCTTCGCCTACCCTGGACTACATGACCTATCTAAATATGATTGGTCATTAGTATGTACTTTTGTTTTTATTTAACTGAGTAATTTTCATGAACTTTATTTTATCATTGTTAACCATGTTAGTTGTAAAGCGGTTGTGAAGAAACTACGAAATGATGGCATCATCTCGCGAAATTTGTCTTCTTAATGCCTTATTCAATTACAATAAGATGGGGAATAAGACGAGTGTTTTTATAGTCAAAATAAATAAGTAACTTGTTAGAATGTTATGATGCACGTGAATTGAAATGGAATTTTAAGATTAGTTATTGTCCTCTTCTGATTTGCCTGATTGGTGGTAATAATGTCTTCTATATTTCTGGTATTTGCATTGAGTCATTTCTTTTACATGTGTTATGTTGGGTGTAGACTTGATGAACAAGGATTCCGTAATCATTCTCTCTCTCCACCTACCCATAATACGTTTTAGAATTTTAACCCTATCCCACCCATCCTATTGTGTGGTTGCTTGTTATTGCGTGAATAGGGTTAAAATTCTAAAAAGTAATGTAGGTAGGTGGAGAGAGAGATTGATTATGGAATCCTTGTTCATTGAGTCTACACCCAACACATGTAAAAAAAATGACTCAACGCAAATACCAGAGATGTGTATGGAAGATATTATTACCACCACTCAGTCAAATCAGAAGAGGATAATAAATAATCTCAAAATTCTGTTTCAATTCAAACACATTACAACATTCCAACAAGTAGCTTATTGTAACTGTAAAAACACTCGTCTTATTTCCTATCTAACTCCATTATGGATAAGATTTTATTTTGATAAATCACAAAGCGTTGTACGGTTGTATTAACTGATGACCACGTTTCGAGCACAAACTATTGCCACTCATAATCATATCATATCAACACTCATATTATTATTTCTGAAAGTACATTATCTCATACTGATTTTTAATCCAATATCTAATCGATTCCACACATGTATATAAATGAAGCAAGAAAGTTGTTTGAGTAACTTGATATGATTATGAGCAATAATTTGTGCTTGGAACGTGGTCATCAATTAATATTACTGTACAACAATGTGTGACCGACTGCCTGTTATCGAAACGATGCTTCTTAGCTGGATAAATGAAGGAATTAACCTCTGTTTAATATCTTCCGTTGATGGTAGACCGACAAGAAAACTCTGAAAGACCTACAGGCGAAAATCAACATTTGGTTGGCAGAACAATTAGGTGACACTGAAAAAAACGGGACTTCAATTGAGAACACACAGAATGCAAAGGTGACGATGATACGTGACAAACCATAGCAACAGGCACCAATCACAATAAACCGAAAATTCACTTTTCTGGCTAGTCAGCATCGTTTCAGACACAGAGGTAGGTAGATGGCACATATACGAATACCATAGGCAGAGTGAAGTTGAACAGGTAAGTAAAACCTTCATTGCTCTCAAGTCCGTATGGAAATCAGTTGCACCCAGCATCTTGGACCAGATCGGGAGAATTGACGAAAGCGTTAGCAAAAGTATGTCTAACAGGTCATTGCAGACTTTCATGAACAGCTGACTTGGCTGGCTATTGAAGAGAATAAGTAAGCATCAAACAGCTCTTGAAGACAGAGAACCAATAGATATCCAAGAGGAAATGAAGATGCACTGGACACAGGGATGAGGAGTCCGTTGAGTGGCATCAGACGCCTCGTAGACAATCTAATTGAACCCTAAGGGTAGGTGGTGAGTTAGGTATCACTTCAAGAGTGACATGGAAGAGGTCGTTTGAGGAGAAATTGAAAGTTTATAGACAGTCGTAGAACTAGTTGAAAAGGACTGCGGAAAACAGGATGAAAATGTAGATGTGTTGCTGAGACTCTATGTTCCACTTAGACTACAAGCGAGTAATAATAACAATAATGAATCACACTCAGATATAGGTTGGAGAAAAATTAGAAGTCGCAAGAGCTAAATCTTGAAAAACTGACAGAAGCAACATTTTACCGGTCAATGAATTTCATCGAACTAAGTGAATGGCCAGCGTGCTTAGCTAGTAACCTAAAAGTGCTGGGTTCGATTCCTGATGATGTAATGAGCGCTTAGTGCTACAGATTTCCAATGTATAACAAAACAGTTTTCCATTTTTACATTGGTTCTCAATAATCCTCTGATTAATGTTGATTCGTGACGGAATATACGATGGCATTGATCTGAATTCCTACAAAAGACCCTAGATCTCAAGATCAGTTTTCGAGTCAATAATGGCTACTGGATGGAAGCTTTGGACCAAGGTTTAGTGCTTGTTGGCAACCGTGTTGTCTTGAAATAACAACTCATATCCCTTCTGAGATTCTAACCCACATCAACCAGTGCTTCCTGCATTGGAAGACGTAATCATTGAACTATTTGGCCTCGCGATCAACCTTCAATGATTGCTCACTATTGTATATTATTATTGTCTCCTTTAATTACTAGAGGAACACAGGGATTCAGCCACACTTCTCAAGTGCGTTCGACTCTTCACCAACGTTTTCACCTAACCCCACGTCTGCCCACATGCTTTTATCTCCGCTTCACATCACCTCCTTCATGTCACCGTCACAATGATGACCAACTCGCTGCTTCATATTCGGGTTCCACTCGACCAATGGCCTGGCGTATGATATCACTTGGTGGTTTGTTTTCTTGGAGTATGGCCTATCCACCTTCATTTCTTCCTGCATATTTCTTGCATAATAGGTTCCTGCTCCGTTGGTTCGCTCCCAGACATCCTACCCTGTTGCTGATCTTTGTCCGAAGGGCCCTTCGTGATGAAGCACCAAGTTTCTCATCCTCATAGTAGCACTGACTTCACATTGGAGTTGAAAATATTGTCTTTTAATACTGAGTAGTCCTGTTGATCTCCACACAGACGTGAGAGTAATGAAAGCTTGCCATGCTTTCTCTATCCTCGCTTTGATATCCTCTCAGTCCCATCCACCTGTAGTTGAAATGATGCTTCACAGATAGGTGGGTATGTAAAGGATGTTGCTTCTTTCAAATTTCTCCCATTTATGCTGATTGTTGTCTGTTGTTGTTGTTGCTGTTGCTGTCGGCCAAAAACTTCATCACCACTCTTTTTTCTATGTTCACCTCAAGTCATATCTTTATTTGATGCTTCTTCTGCGAACTTGTTGCTTTTCACCACCTGTGTATCTTTCAGTTTGCGGGAAATCAGACATATATCATCAATGAAGTCCAGATCCTTCAAGTTTTATTTTTGTATGGGTCCATTTTTACCCTGTCTCCCAGTTGCCCGCTGTCTGTCGCATTATTCAGTCTACCAGAATCAGGAAACTAATCAATGGAGATAGTAGGCAGCCAGCCAGATTTGTCTTACTCCTGTCTTCACTTCAAAGGATCTCATGAGATTAGCGCTGTGGATTGGATTACTTGGCATGCGAAGCATTATCGTACAACTGTTGGTGGCACCCCATAGTGGCGAAGTAGTAATAGTTCCAAATCACCTCTCGATCGACGCTTCTCTATCGAAGGCCTTTTCAAAGTCAATGAAGTTGAGTGAGGTAGAAAGCTGACTGCCATTCCAAGCTCTGTCCAATGATGATACGTAGTGCTGGGATTTGATGATTACTCACTAGATGGTTAGTAATCAGTAGTGAACGTAACCAAAGCTGAATATCTGCTCACTAGGAAAGAAAAAGTAATTTAAGTAGTATATTTATAAATACAAAATAATCTAAATATTTTCACTTACTAATACAACATATTCATAATTAGTATTCGGTGCACAAACAATCGATAAATCTTCCCAACCTTCAATAGCACCATAATTATTCCATGATTTTTCATTGAAATGTTTCAATGGAAATACAAAGGCAGCATATTCACCCTGTAGATCTAATGAACGCAATTTCATACATGTGTATAAATATTCGGATAAACAATTAATCACCACTTTGTCCGACGGTTTTTGTTCATCATTTTGAGATCCGCTGCCGTCAACTTTGTCATTTTTATTTATCCAATCTTGTAAAAATGGATGCATTGATTTCAGGGTGTCTTTTAAGGTATTCAAAGCTTTCGGTGATTCCGATTGTATAATATCAGCTGAGACAACGATGTTATTATTGTTATTATTAGTGTGGTTAAAATTGAACTTTGCCAAACGTTTGTTCTCTGCAATTCTAGTGAAGTAAGGCGGCGTTATAAGATTCGATTTGTCAGAACTCATCTGAAATGAAAGCGAATATGGGGGGGGGAATGTGAATTACTACAATAGTATGGGATAGAAATATGAGATTAAGTCATGCAAGCGGTAAGCTGATAGTGAATGTGTCAGCGGCGGCGAATTGAAGAAGACCTTGTTAATTGACACAGAAGAAAGTTCCTTGGAAATAACACCACCACTCCAATTTGGCTTGGTGGCTCAGCACAGGATGCTCGCCGACCATGCTACATCTGGTACAAGGTTCGAATCCCGGCTGACACACACATGGACGTCGTCAAGTCGGTAATAAGACCAGTAACGAGGGAAAGTTGAACATGAGGCTAGCAATCCTACCAAGTAAAAATAAAAACCACTGCTAGCGAAACGTCAAATCTCTAGGTTGAAGGCCAATGTTCCACTGTGTCTGCAAAGGAATACAATAATTGATGATAATAATCTCATTTGCCACCCTTCTCCTGTATGTGTATCTGACAGTTTGACTGTTCTTTTTGAAGCCGGAGGGGGGATAAATTATCATCAGCCGTGTACTTTGTGGTTTAAGACAGATCAAAGAACCGGATCATTTCTCAAATCAGGCGATGTAAGTGGCATGTTTAACTACGTGTCTCAATTATTCAGTAGTATTTAATTTCATGTATTTGCTATTACGTCACTCTATGTCACTGCTCCCAATCAAATATGCAACCAAGCAGATTTCTATTTTGGTCTTATTTTATTTTGCGGCAATAATAAACTTATCATCCAAGTAACAAAACAGAATGGTAGTTCCATTTTCTGGACGTCATGCTAATTAGGGGAAGAAACTTGTATAGAAAAGGCACATTCACAGGGGAATACACATACTTCCTTAGTTACGTTCTTTTTTAAATGTAAAAGAAATGTCGTTATTTGTCTTACGAGCAGAACAAGAAAGATGTGTATGGTTGACCACCCACATCCTAGTAGTTTCATACAGACGCATATGAAAACATTGGGGAGACTATGGTTGCACGTAAAAAGCCTCTATTTATTAATTTACAATTTATTGGTGACTTATCAAGTGAGATTTTATTCCAGAGACTTTTCAGGAGTGTACGAAGAACGTTTAACGCAGTATACCTATGTTTTTCATTCTCCAGCCGACGAATAATTGGGACGCAAGCAAAGTATAAGGTAGATAGTTTTTCCACATCTATATGCATTTATCGATTCAACTGCACCTGCGGTGACAGTTATCTTGGGCACACTACTACTAGACAGCTTAGCCAGTTGACGTGTTAATGAACATCTCCGACCTTGATTTGGCAAAGGACAGACAAAAACAATCCATAGCTCAATTTTGTCATACCATGTTTAGTGGATAGTGGTCATGTAGTGGGGGAAACGAAGGTATTCAAGGTAATTTATCATATCCCACCGAATCTTTCAAAGAGACGATAAGTATTCGAACGATTGAACCTAAACTATGCATTCAAAAGAAGTTCGTACACAGCCGTTATCCCTTTCTTGGCCTATTGAACCCTGACCAACTGATAACATCTCCACCACCCCTTACTTATATTTTCAACCCCTCTATTATCATCCATTAGTCTTATCATATCTTCACTAAAAATGTATTTCATTTACTTCCCTTACAATCTGGCATTACTTGGTCCGTTCATTCGTCTTTCTTAGCCCTTATCGACTACTATTTCTACCTGAAAATTTGTTTGTTTAATCATGCTGGTTTTCGTTATTCTTGTTATCACAGATTGCCTCACTTTTCAACTTTATTATTGATAGAATTATTATTATTAATATTACTACTATTATGACTAATTGCACAATTTAAATGCACAGTCTTTGTACCCTGTAGACCAAACACTATGATTGGTTTATATGTATTATAATGTTTATTAGTAAAGTTATGTATATTAGAGTTAAGCTTGATGAGATCTAATTGAAAGCACATTAATATTCTAGAATTTAATTGAAGGATGGTGACTAGCAGTGGAATCCAGCTTGATGCGCATTTCGTCCTTTTTGGGACTCGTCTCCTAGCTGGATGTACCTGCATTTCCCAGTGAATGATAGTATTCCCACCGAGGCTCCAACCCAGTGTCCATAGATTCAAACGCCAAAGCGTTATCGACCAGACCACTTGGGTCACAAGAGCCACCTCTTGTGCAACGGGTCATATTGATTTGGCGTTTGAAACTATGCTCACTGGGTTCAAGCCTTGGTGGGAACATCATCACTCACTGGGAAATGCAGGTACATCCGGCTGGGAGACGAGTCCCGAATAAGACTCCACTGCTAGTCACCATCCACAAATTAAATTCTAATTAAATGCCTAGACATCGTCAAAGCATCTGCACAAAAAGCTGACATGTCAACCTGAGACCGAGCACTTCGGTCCAATCAGTCGACGGGAAAAATCTAAAATTCAATAAAACACAATAATTGGTGTACAATTGGTGGATGGTGGCTAGCAGTGGAATCCAGGATGCGCATTTCGTCCTATTTAGGACTTGTCAGTTGGATGTACCTGCATTTCTCAGTAAGTGATGATGTTCCCACCTAGGCTCGAACCCAGCACCCATAGTTTTGAACGCCAAAGCGTTATCCACTAGACCACTTGGGCCACGAGAGCCACCTCTTGTGCAACGGGTCATATTAATTATTGAACTGAATTTTTGAATTCAGGTTGTCAACCTGAGACCGAGCACTTCGGTCCAATCAATCGACGCGAAAATCAAAAATTCAATTCAAAAACACAATAATATTCGCTAAAACGTATTGCTTTTTAATTTGTATACTTGTTAGAATTATCTTCGTTGTTGTACACCGCAAGTACCAGATAAGTTTTCTAATTGGATTATTCTAAATTTTGCTTTATTTCTCTAAGTACTGATTGATACGTAGGGCTTCAAGCTAGATAGCCTTGATGTTTAGATAGCAGTGATGTTTATTTCTACGGGATCGGGTTGTCAACCTCATGCTCAGCCTTCCTTCTTTACCAGTTTCATTACTGGCTTAGTGAGGGCCAGGAGTGAGTTGGCTGAGGAGATCGAAGCATGTATCACATATGACGTGGTTAACGAGTGTTCCACAGTGGCATCACCGACGCGTAACTATATTTAAAGCGGATTAATTGAAAATGAAGGCTAGAGTTATCGAAGTGCGTGCACACGGACAATTCTTCGAAGGTGAACACATTTACGCCAGTATACATATAAACACAAGCCCACACAAATATACAGTAAATTGTAGTAGTGAAATAAAGTTCCTTACATAGAAAGCGTGAGTTATGCTTAGTATTCGGGTGGAGTGAAGGCGGGTTTGTGACCACCATAATCTTTAGTTTAGAACAGTTATAAACTTTATTCAGTTTTTTTTCCAGTGTGTTTAGCATAAGGTGATTTACAGCAATGTGAACAATCTCATGAGGTACTAGATAATGAAATCGTCATGGCATCCAAGATCCATAACGCTTCACAAGATTATGTATGCCCCACCATAAAAATGAAGTTTGTTATGGTAAGAATTATTATTCCGTGGAGTCCATGAACCAACATGCATGAAATGAATTGGAAAATAGGTGCCAAACGATTATAGCACTTAGGCTTGTTGCGTTAGCAAGTTACACAGCATTAGCGCCTTGAATGCTGTTGATCAAGGTTACTTACCAAACTTCTATCATATCCTGACATCCTGATCCCACATTGTGTTTCCTAGGAATAATTTATATTAAATAATAATAATAATAACAATAACAATAAACCGAGCACAGTAGTTATTGTATCTTAGGATTTCTAACTATCATTTTTTCCATTTATAATTCTGACCTTGTAACTTTGAAGTCTCATCTTTGTGCCCAGAAGGGTCGTGGGTACATACTGGTAAACAGTCACAAACTAGGACAAAACGGTTGTGTCCAGTGCTCCCTGAATCAAGTCTAAAATGGCCAGGTGAAGTGTACTCTGATCGAATGCATTGGTTGATAAAAGCTCTAGGCATCACGAATTGATACAGTTAGGATTTCACGGCCAAATGGCTAAATGGCCGACGGGCTTGGTCGCTTCATAATGGTAATAATAATATCAATAACTTACATTATATTTACTTAATAACCAGCTGTGGGCAACTAACATTATCGTTCCATATTAGTTTGTTTACTAGATATGTCACATAGTGAACCAGTATTAGTATTTACTGGATGACTTTTCGAACAAAATTTATTGTTCATTATCATGCCATCAGTTATAATCACACAACTTTGAAACTTGAGTTTTATAGTCTCCTGTTTTTCATCGTAAGGGTAAATCATTTCTATTACACGTATTTGCAGTTGATTCAATAAACAAAGCTTTTGTTATCAATCTCTCCCTCCAACCTGTTGTTACATTAGATTTTAAAACTGTCATCCTATCCCATCCAGCCTGTTGTATGGTTGTGTGTAATTGCATGTGGTGTAGTGCTATAGCTGAACTATTCTCTAGATTTCTAATCTTATTCAAGTCAACTAATCTAGATTTTTCTGCAAGGTTTTTATGCTCGGCTAGTCTGACTGCACCTGTTCTATTGTATCTGACCTGACAATCATTGCAGACAGGGTATTAGATAAACTAAATTGTTTTGTTTTAAAGACTCCACTGGCAGGATTCTTTAACTGACAGAGCTTGCTTCTAATTGACTTTGTGGGTGGTTTGAATGCCACTTTTATTCATGCACTATTAAGAATTCTCTGTAAGGTTTCTGAAGTCCCTTCCTTGTATGAAAGCACTACTGATGATTTAGATTCCTTATTGTTGGTGTTGTCATTATCTTGCGCATGTCTGACATGCATGTCGTCATTAGTATTATCATTTACTATTATTATTATTATTATTATTACCATCACTATTATTATTAATTTTATTTTTACATTTCCCTACATATTTCCTGACAAATTTATCAGGGTAATTATTAAATCTCAAGGCTCCTCTTATATGCCTCATTTCCTGTCTTAGATTTTCCTTGGTACTACTTAGTGTTTTTGTGCTATATTATCTGACCAATCCTATCTTCACTGACATAGGATCCGGTGATCGGAAGTCCAAATATCCGTTTGAATGTGTGTGTTTCCTGTAAACACACACTAGTGTGTTTAACATTCCATCTGCTTTCCTTTTTACTTTGCAATATAACATTGAAATCTCCCCTTCCTGACTTTTCAATTCATAAGTGAATTGAATTGCCTCTACCTTTGAGTTGATGTGTTGAAAAAATCTATCTATTTTGTACTAAGTACAGTGAATGTGTCATCTACGTACCTCCACCATACTTCTAAGGGGGGGGGGATGAACGTTTCAGTCACTAATTTTGCTCACCTAACATTACCGTTTACCACATAAACTGAAACAGTACAACATAATTTGACAGATGACTATAGCTGAAACCAAGCTATGGATTTTACCCCCTGTTTTATACTAAATGTATAACTAACTACAAGGACGAATTTGTTTACTGACTGTCATATCCAGTCAGGAAAATTCTCTATACCAATAAAATTGTAAAAGGTTACAATTATGTATATATGTAAAAACCAAGTTCACGTTTTACAGTTTGAAAAGATTTGAGTATTGGGTATATGATATTCATTATAATAAAGGTTTCCTTGTATTTCCCAATCAATGAGAAACAAAACTATATTCTTGTTTTTACTGACGATTCGCTATTTTCAAGTATTGGTTTTGTAGGGATTTTGTTTGATTGCATGGAGGATTTAATCATGAGCTGACATCAGTTAGAGAACCACTGGAATACCTGGGAGTACTGAACAGCTGTTTCCTACGTCCTAGTTTGGGACTCTTCAGCAGTACGCACCCACCGGGATTCGAACCCAGGACCTTCTGGTTACAAGGCGAGCTTGTAGACCATTAAGCCACTGGGACCCTATCCAATGGTTCTTGAATTCTAGCTTATGCCAATTCACGACATAGCGCGACCACTTCGCAATGTCTTCTTCGATGAGTTATTGCCTCATCTTCAACCTGGTGTACCCTACTGTACCCTACAGTGGTTCTCTCACTGATGTCAGCTCATGATTAAATCCTCCATGCAATCAAACAAAATCCCTACAAAACCAATATTTGAAAATTATTCTGTGCTTACTAGTCACTGGCCCTATTCAGGCAGTTAACCTGGGGTTCTAGTGGGAAGCCGTGACCAGTAGGGTACAGCAGGTTGAAGATGAGGCAATAACTCATCGAAGAAGACATTGCGAAGTGGTCGCGCTATGTCGTGAATTGGCATAAGTTAGGATTCAAGGACCATTGGATCGGGTCCCAGTGGCTCAATGATCTACAAGCTCGCCTTGTAACCAGAAGGTCCTGGGTTCGAATCCCGGTGGGTGCGTACTGCTGAAGAGTCCCAAACTAGGACGTAGGAAACAGCTGTCCAGTACTCCCAGGTTTCGCTATTTAATGCTAATAGCTTTATTAAAGTAGTATTAAACCAGAATTTACAAAATCTCAGCTTATATATAACAACTTAATCGTCGTTCCTCAGCATTTCTGAGTTGTCAATTTGGCTCATTGGTAAAGGTAACAAAACCAGGTGTGGATTGTTGGATTTGGTAAGCGTGTAAAATTACAAAAGCACCGTGTGTCTATAATAATAACATTGTTCCTCACATTCATGTTGATTTTGTCACTTCATGAGGGACGTGAGGGGTGTTAATACCAGGTCAAATTCTGTTTTAGTTCATTATTCCTATTCAGACAATTTGGATACCATTTGATATGAAGTACTCCTGATGATGTTAGACGTCCTTTGGGATTTCTGAAACGCCTTTTCTCAATGATTTCAATACTGTCAAATCAAATTTTTAGTCCGATTCTATAGCGTAGCGTGCAGACCTGTGGCTGATGATATTTCAAGCTTTTCTAGTTCACTAACTGGGCTTCTTGGTGGTCTAATAGATGTTCTACTGTGTTAATTTCTTCTGTTGACCTTGATTCCGCTCTGGCGATGTTTGTCCGTTGTATATCGCATCACATTCCAAGCGTTTTATTTTATAGACACAACTAGATTGATATTGCTTAGGAATTCGGTCTTTTACATGCATCACGTTACTTCCTAGTATGTCTGATGTTTTGAGGAAAATTCTAATGTTGAGCTTAATGAGTAGTCTTCTGATATCATCTGACCTCTCCGCTCTATATGGAATGACAACTGTTTTCCAGAATACGTTTTCGACCAAACTTAATGTTTGTGTTGATTTTGTTGATGAAGTCCCTTAGGTGGTTGTTTTACTTGAGAGTTTCAGTAATGTTTGATATTTCTTCTTCTTTTTCTTGCTCATCCGTTAACATCAAAGAGTGTGCTCGTCTAAGAAGACTTGAAACAACTGATACCTTGGCGCTGATGGGGTGTGATGATCTGAAGTCTTAATATTTTTTGGAGTGGGTTCTCTTCTTGTATACAGATATACAAAAGCATCTGTCTCCCCCACTCGTAACAAGCCAGGCGGTCTAGAAACGGTAGTTCACTGACGTGGGATTCTGCTACCAAAGTAAACTGGATTCTGGAAGATACACAGTTTATTTTCTCCAGGAATGAATTGTGTAGATCTCGTTTTATCACTACAAAAGTATATTAACCATATTTTAGGAGTAAGTATGCTTGAAAAGATGTTATCTTCGAATCTATTAATGAAAAAGTCTACGACTATTGAATAAACTGGTGAACTCGACAACGCGAAACGCCCTCATGTTTAGGAACGATGATTAAGTTGTTATAAATAAGCTGAGTGGATTTAGTAAATTCTGGTTGAATATTACCATGTTGATAAAGCTATTGGCAGCAGCATTAAATAGCGAAACGTCTGTGAAGTGAAACAACATCATTTGTTTTTCATTCATTGGGAAATAAAAAAAGCCTTTACTATCATGAAGGTCATCATTAATTAATTAATTAATTGGACCAGAAAGTAACCAATAATATTTAGAATAAAAATAAGCTTTACGTTGATTGATTAATATTTCAATATTATAGAAAAAATATAAATTAACTGAAAAGATACTGCCTTCTTTAGTTCTAATCTGCCGTACAATGAATAATTTGGGTAGCCAAGTGAACTGACCTCGGGATTTCAAAGTAGATGAAGACCACTGAGAATCTAAGAGTAAGTGATTTGATATATATTTCATCCTTTAGAAATATATACACTCACAAATTCATGTGCGACGAAGTTTTAAAAAGGTAAGATTTACAAACTAGTAAGTGACAGTCATTCGGCCGAAAGCGCATGTTTCTAACATATAACCAGTGATAAAACTCATTTATATATATGATTATACGGTTAATTCAAAATCAAATCACCTTAGCTTAGGTGCATATTCACCACAAGAAATAAGTGCATTTTAGCAATAAAACTTTCACTCAACTGGATTAACCCTATTAAATCACAGAGAAAAAAAATCGTTTCAAGAGATAACGTGTAAAAGTGTGGGCATTTGCGTTGAATGTGAACTAAGAAGGATAATAGAGAAGATTTGTAGCTCAGGTGGATGTTTTGCAATTGATAGTATTCCCTAAACTGGTTGGTTTAGTTGTGGAGCTTTCGTCGTCCTTCTGGACAACATCTTCAGCGCAATAATTAGCAAAAAGTGAAATGATTTAAATTTTCCATGAGTGATAGAATTGCGTCTCCCGGTAACCATCTTTACATATGTATTGACCATTTTCTATTGACTTGGATTTTTAACTTTCTGGTCACATGATTCACTTTTTATTAGTTGTTATATTTGGTTTATGCTAACCTGTTTATTAACTGCATACTCGTTTGAGTACCAAGCTTCTAGGAATTGCCTGACTGCACTTTTAGTGTTTTCTCTGTCTAAGATTTCGACATGATCCCATTTAAACTGATGTCTATAATTGTCTATATGCTTTGATATGAAAGAATATATACCTACAAACGGTCTTCAAAAAGAATGGTTATCAAAAAAATTTCATCAAAATGTGTTTAAAATCGAATCACAACACTAACAAGGAACCATCATCAAAGACCACAAGAAAATTCATCCTACCATATATAAAACATATCTCTGAAATAACAACTAGAATACTTAAACCGTTTGATATAGATATAGCACACAAGCTAGTCAAATCACTTAATTCGATATTATGCAAACCGAAAGACGCACCCAACAGAAAAAGGGAATAAAATTAATACCATTAAAAAAATAATGTATATGAAGTGTAAAAGCCATTACATCAGCCAGAGCGGGCGTCCACTTCGAACCAGAATCCAGGAACATAAATCAGCCGTGAAAAGACACGATATATGTTCTTTAGTATCAATATATGTAGACAATTATAGACATCAGTTTAACTGGGATTATGTCGAAATCTTAGACAGAGGAAACACCAAAAGTGCAGTCAGGCAATTCATAGAAGCCTGGTACTCAAACGAGTATGCAATTAACAAACACTTTAGCATAAACCAAATATACCAACTAATAAAAAGTAATGAAGAAATTTAAATCATTTCACTTTGTGCTAAGAATTGCGCTGAAGGGGATGTTGTCTAGAAGGACGACAAAAGCTCCGCAACTAAACCAACCCGCTTAGGGAACACTAATAATTGCATGTACATATGTTTATTTCAGGTTTGATAGTGGATTCATGTCATTTAGAGAACTATTGGAAACCAGCTCGGAAGTATTGGACGCTGCTGTTACGTCCTAGTTTGGGACTCTGCAGCAATGCACATACACCGGGGTTCGAAACCGGGACCTTCCAGTTACAAGGCTAACTCATAGACCATTACCAGCCAATATGAGCCAATCCAATGCCGCATGAATTCCGACTTCTACCAACTGGTGAATTCAGTGCCAGCTTACCTTGTAACTTTAAGATTTTGAGCTTTCTTATGATACTGACAGTGTGATTTTTTTTAAGAGAATGAAGTTCATTCTGATCTTGGATTGTCCGCGGAGATTTGTTGGTGTGTGATTCTTTTCGACGGAGATTTCGATCCTACCGCTTTGTGTATATTCTACTTTGTTCTAAGGTTAATCTTACAGTAGAATCGCGGTGAGCCAATTTCGTTATACAGTACTTGTGTTTGTACTTCGAAAGTTAACTGGTCTCTTTAGCTGCCTTACCACACTGTTGACTCACTCTTGAGTTTTAGATGTCATTATTGATTATTATTGATTAGAAACACACATAGATTCCAACCGCAAATAATCACCTATCAACCGTCTTTGAAGCGTTTTGTGACCGTGTGTTGCTCAAGAAACCTTCCGACAGTTATACACAGTACGATGCAAGGATAAGCTCCTTGCGTTTAGACCAACAGAAAGTCTGTTGTTCGTCTCTACACACTTTTTATATGCAAGACGATGCACTGAAGTGGTCTTATCTAGAAGGCAGTAACTTGCTAGCACTTCATGATGAAACTACTCGACTAGCTCCGAGAACTTAATTAAAATGAAAGTAGAATCACTAGGGTTAATATGCACTATCAAAATGCATATTATAAATACACAACACATAGAGGCACACAAATATATAGGAAGAAAGCACCATAAGAAGAATAGTATTTTTTAGCAAAACTGAAAGACAGGATTATGTGTGAACCAATATGAAATCTAATATTATTTTGTTGTTTTTCTCAACACTACTGATATTAGTACTATAATGACTACTGTTCAGTGTTTACCTGGGGTCTGTAACGAATAAGCACTGGTGATGTCTAATTTTATAGGAAAAATCAATCAATAAATATGTATATGTATGTATTTTTAAAATTTTTTTTACAACCTTTCGTCATGGAAACAGAAAAAAATACACTGAGAAAATGATAGAAACAAAAAGAAATCCCCAAGGATTTGAGCAAACAAATGCTTGTTTGTCTATGTCTCTACACTGGTGTATTTCTGATAGAAATTTTGATACAATCTATCGGTAGTGATAACCTTTTGGATGCTGGGCATAAATTTGATGGTGAGAAGACATTTCAAGTCATCTGTCGTAGTAGTGGCGATATAGTTAGTGACCTAGCGGTATCATCGAACTCTAACCCATGGTTGCGACCCTAATTCGACTCCTAGTCAGTACACAGTGGCACCGGTGGTAGGATGCCGAGTAGCCACTTAAGTTATCTGACTTTGATTCCAAGCGGATGCATACTGCTGAGCTTTGGTTGGATCATAAGCCAATATTAATCCCTTGGAAAGAGAGGGAGGCCAGTAGCTCTATTATTACTGAAACTTCACAGAACTTAAAGACGGAAGCCCTACTTTCCATATGGAAGTCAAAGCCAAGATAAACAAATTCGTGACCAATCCGCGATCCCGTAAAAGTAAGCACACCTGCTACCGAAACTTCAGTGCTCTCTGGCTTGATCCGTATGTTCCGCTGGGAGCGCAAAGTTATAAAAAAATGGAATCTTAGACGAAAACAATTAGCACAAATACTTTCCTTACTTTGACAATCATCTTATGAATGTAAAAAATCTGAAAATTCCGTCTCTTCATCTCACCCTTCCCAACCATAAAGCATTTACAAATTATTATTATTATCCCAACTATCTTTCAGTTGATTTAATTGAATTTAAGATTTTCCCGTCAATTGATTGGACCGAAGTGCTCGGTCGATTAAATTCTAATTAAATGCCCAGAAATCGTTGAAGCATCTGCACAAGAAGCTGATATGTCAACCTAAGACCGAGTATTTCAGTCCAATCAATCGACGGGAAAATCTAGAATAAATTCAGTTAAAATTAATATGACCCGTTGCACAAGAGGTGGCTTTCGTTGCCAAAGTGGTCTATTGGATAACACTTCGGCGTTTGAAACTATGGGCACTGGGTTTGTGTCTCGGTAGGGACATTATCACTCACTGTAGAATGCAGGTACATCCCGGTGGGAGACGAGCCCTAAATATGACGAATTGCGCTTTATCCTGGATTTCACTGTTAGTCACCATCCACCAGTTATATCTTTCAGTTGCTTGCAGGATTTCATCATGAGCTGACATCGGTTAGAAAACCAATGGAAAACTTGCAGGAAGTACTGGACAGGACAGCTTTTTAGTCTTAGTTTTGAGGCTCTTCAGCACCAGCAGTTCGAACCCGGGACCTGTTCCCGAAAAATTCTGACATTAGACAATAGTCAATTATATATTCCCTAATTCTTCATAACTTGATCAATTTCTTTAATAATACAAATACTCTTTAAGTGTTTGATTTCTTCGAGGATTCGAATGATTTGAAGTTTGACCATGACATGATGTCGCTTAAAGAACCAGTGGAAACTGAATAAGGAGTCAATTCAGCGTCAACCTTGAAAACCATCAAATCCCCACATCGGCTAATCAAAACTTCAGAATTCGTCGAATGCTTACTAGTGAGTGAATGACAACAGAATGAAGTCGCCCTTAGTTTTATTTAGAAATTGTGAACAGCGGGATGTGCCAGTATGTTTTGCGGGGCTAGGGGAGGGAGGGAGTTGAGGACCAATTATTTGCCGGTTACACTGACGAATTCATAAAGGTTAGAAACCACAAGCCATTGGATATTGTCTCGAGTGATTAAATAGTTAAGCAGGTAGGCTCATAACCGCTAGATTTCAGGGACCGACGACCGTACTGCTGAAGTGCCACGAAATAGGATGAAACAGCCGTCAACGATTGTCTAACGGGGGTCGGTTTATCAGCTAGCTTGAAAAAGTTTTTTCCCTTCACGTTCCCAGTGGAACATAGGGCTTCAAGCTAGCATTATTTCTGGGTTAACGAGGTAAAGGAGTGCGTCGGCCGGGGATAGAACCCCGGACCATGTGCACGGTCAGCGGAAATCCTAACCACTGTGACAAGGATTCCCCTGGTCCGTGCCAGTTCTGAGTTAGCCGTCGCGCGCCAGACAATGGAAGCACAGCCGCTTGACGCAACGCAGAGAAAGTCAGCGCGCGTCGCTAGCCATACAACACTAACAGCTGAAACCGCCCAAGATCGATCGCTGTCAGAGTCCAGTAACTCTACAATAATGCACACTAAAGCACACAAAGCAGCAAAGCAACCAGCCTCCAACTGGGCCGACACATATCTGGTCTCAGCCTGTCTGACTCAGCTCCCAGAGCCAATCCTTCTCCCGTAGTTACGGATCCAATTTGCCGACCTACATTGTTCAATTGCCAAAGGCTGTTCACCTTGGAGATATGGGTACGGCCTGTCACGAAAATTATACTGCCTGGCTCAGATTTTCAAGGGCCGACAATCGCGTTCCGGACGCCACAAGAAGGATGGTGCTTTACGGATGAAAATAATTTGAAAATGATTTCAGTTATTTAAACATTAAACTGTAAATTATGCAATCAAGGATTACTCACTTGAGCACTTGGCATTTGTTTGTAATCGGCTATGAATAATTGATCTCTTGAAGCTGGTTCAACTGTTCGATTCGATTTTTCCAATAAAGTTGACCTCTGATAAAGAAAAAGAAGAAGAATCGTTTTATGAAGGTGTCAAGTATTATAGTCTCATGATGTTAAATTTATTAAGATTTGACTAACCTTCAATTGGGGTTTCATTGTGAAACAACATAAGCTAATGAAATATTCGAAAATAAAACTCTATGGACTGAAGTTTCGTTCAGGCCGCGTACTCTTCAGTGTAATACATCTGGTCATACCCTGGATAGATACTATTATGTTATTAGGTGAGCCTGTGACAAGTTCGAATTTGACTCTACCAGTTGGCTGAATTAGCTAACCAGGATTCATGTGGTTTCAATGCGGATTCAGTTCTCCGAGCTGACTCAAATAGCCGTTCCGGGGGGGGGGGCACACCTCTGATGAGATTTGGCCTAAACGAGAGATACGGCTATCACAAAGTGTTTATACTACTTCCAGTAAGCACTGCTGAATAATATAAGTAGTATACAACCACTCATCTCAATTAATCAGTAGTATATAGTTTTTTTGTGCAAATATGTTTGTCTCTTTTTTATTTCTGTTTATGGTATCGATCAGATCATGCATATTATTGTGATCTGACTGATAACTTCTGATCCCGTCATGTTTACGATGTTGATAGATATTTCTGTCTTTAAGTATTCCCACTGTTAAAATTAGAAGAAGACACATAAAAGCGAACAATATTGTGGCTTTCAATTAGATCTTCGGGCTTTACTCTAATCTATATAGCTTTATATATCAATATTGAGTTAGTTTCGGTGAGTTCGCGGATCAAATACTATATATATATATATAGAGAGAGAGAGAGAGGTCCATCGGAATAAAAGCATCAAATGGCAGGGTGATAGATTTGATGTCCGACAAAGCAAATAACACTGCATTGCGGAGATATTTTGGGCGACGACGTGAAAGGAACATAAAGAAACACAATATGAAAGCCAAAAGTAGCAGGCAAAACACGGAAGATCTATGCACATGGTGCGTTGAAGATGAGGTGTACATAATTCAGCCATATAGAGATACCGAATTGCTAATAAACATACCTACAACGAGTGTGGCATTTTCTACCGTTACACTACCTCTAGTCATAGTAACAATAATGTGTTAAGTGGTTTTTGAATATCATTGATAACGACGATTATAATGATCTGGAGGTGGCTAGTGAAGTCCCACATCTAAGATAATCGAGAGCAATAACATGAACTTATTCTGCCCTTCGTTTGTTGACTTTCACCTGCTGACAAATTATGATTGCTTAAGTGAAACACAAGCTGCTTAGCTGTGCCATTTAAAAATTTAGCTGTTGCTATAGAAAAGGCCAAGTAGGGCGAACAACTAGACACCTCAGCAAATGCATTACTGAGCATCTTCCTTCATGGTTTGGAGAAGTCAAGTAAAATCTGTACGAAGTTTTATTTTGTCTCATTATGTGCGTCGGTAGCACAGTGGTTAGGACTCTCGCTGACCATGCACAACATGGTTCAGGGTTCGATCCCCTGCCGACGCACACCTGATATCTATAGTTGACCTGTAAAATTTAGGCTACCGATATCATATACTGAAAATTCCATACTTGTACCAAAAATACTGTGTGGTGTCAAGCTATAAACAAAATTAAAATTAAATTAAGTTTAACTGATGATAGCGGTCACCAAATGGACAGAAGAAGAAGTGCCTTCAAAGTTATCTATCGCATTCCATCAAGCCTTTCGAACGGAATTCGAACCCGCTTTTAAACTTAGCCATGGCGATTGGAATTCCAGAGAACAATCCTAGTGTTTGCTTACGAAAGAAGTTTCTTCTACCCTCGTGTCTCCCTTGGTCCAGGTAAATTCAGATTGTAGACCTCTCATCCACCATTTTTCATTTTTCATCTTCTTCGTACTTTTATGATATTTATTTAAACTCTGATTATCTGCCCACTTCACCTATAGTATTACGTAAATTTTAAGATTTGACCTAATTTATTTATTTATTGAATTGTCTATACATACACATATCACTCAATACCTTCGTTACTATAATCGCCACCTGCATAAACCTTATTATCAATATTTTGTTATCATTCTAATCATAGTTATTAATGACGTTCAAAAAAAAAATAACAACAGCTGGTGTAATCACACGTAGTAATTTTGCTTAAAATATCACCAAACGTTTTAGTCGCATGCACGTTGAAAACACTTAGCACATTTTTATTATTTAAACATTGGTTAGTAAGCATTTGGTTTGATTGCTGACATAATTTCATCATGGGCTGACATCGATTAGAAGACCAGTAGAAACTCTAAGGGGGGGCACTAGACAGCTGTTTCGTCCTAGTCTAGAACTCTTCAGCAGTACGCACACCCCCCCTTAGTGTTTGAACCCAGGACCTTCTAGTTACAAGGCGAGCCCGTAGACCACTGAGCAGAAGAAAACGGAAATGGATCTCTGAAGATACTCTGAAGAGACCGTTGAGTGATATTTTCGTGTTTGGCCCTCTAATTTTATCCGAATCGGAAACGGCAATTTCGGCTTGAGTTCAAGGGTAACACGGAGGAGATCGTACGAGAAGGAAGTGAAGAATTAGAGGCAATCATGGCGCCAACCAGAGAGGGCTGAAGTGAACGGTGTGAGAAGTGAAGACAAAATTGTTTTAAAGTCCTGTGTTCCAATGGAAACTTAGGGGTTGAATATTCGAATAAATCTTATTGGACAGTTGAATTAGTTTTGTTCTCAAGGAGCGGGTTGATTTAATTGCGATGCTTTCGTCTACCTTCGGAACAACATTTTCAGGGCAAGTTTTAGCGTAAAATGATTCATTTTGAATTCTCAATGAATGTTACAGTTTTGTCTCCTGGCAACCATCTTCGTGACTGCTGGTCGATTTACACCGGTATTGATCGATGTTTTATTGACTAGGAATTCGAACTTTCTTATCATGTGATTTACTTTTTATTACTTAGTAAATTTGGTCTATTATAATATGTGTTTGTTAATCGCTGGCTGATTCGCTTGAGTACCAAGCTTCTAGGAATTCCCTGCGACTGCTTTTGGTGTTTCTTCATTTAAAATTTCTACAATATGCCAATGATCGAATTGATGACCATAAGTATCCATTTGCAGTGATACCAAAGAATATATGTCATATTTTTTTATAGCCAATTTGTGTTCTCGGATTCGGATTAGTAGGTAACTTTTACCTATGTTATGTTTATTGCAGTTCTTATCATTATTCTTCCCTTGAGTTCCTAGTGGAATATAGGCCTTCAACTGCACGTCTCCAATTGCTTCTTTCTTCTGCTGGTACTTTTCACCTGCATCCATGTTAGTCCATACTGTTTCAAATACTCTTCACACGATCTCCTCCATGTCACCCACCCTTGGACGTCCCACTCGCCGCTTACCTTTCGGCCTTGTTCCACTTGAGCAATGGCCTGATGCACGCGATGTCACCTAGCGGCCTCCTCAGCGAGTGTCCAATGTGTCATCTCCACTTTCTCCTGCATATTTGTTGGTTGGCGATTGGTTCTTGTTTTATTTTGTTTGTTCCCATAGTTTCTGGTTGGTGATTCTTTCCCCCCGGCCATTTGATCTTCAGTATAGAACGAAGACAGTTGTTGATAAAGGTCTGAGTTAGCCTGCTGGAAATATTCTTTGTAACCCGCCCGCCAAGTTTCTGATCCGTTTACAAGAAGTGACTGACTTGACTTTTGTTTGTATTGAAAATCCGACCGAATTTTGTTGTTGATGCAGGCCGAGTGACGAAGATTTCGAGATTGGTTTCAGGTTGGTTGATGAATGTGTTTCTCGTCTTCCCGATTCTCACTCGATTTGACATCCTCGTCCGTTCTGACTGCCTGTAGTTGAGACAATGCTCTCTAGATAAGTGAGTGAATGAAGTGACCTTTTTCGAATCCCTCCCGTCGATGGTGATTGACGCTAGATTTTGCTGCTGTTGTTGTTGGTTGGTTGGTTGGTTATTTTCATAACCTCCATCTTGTCTATGTTCACCTGGAGTCCTGTCTTCGCCGGCTGCTTCTTCGACCAGTTTGTCGGTTTTCTCTTGTAAGTATTCGATTTTGTGTGACATCAAACATCAATCATCCACGTGCGAAATCCAAGTCTTGTAGGTTCTTCACGTCGGTCTAGGATATCCCTGTCTTCTCGTTACCCACTCACTGTCTGACGCATAATCCAGTCCACCACAATTAGGAATATAATAGGTGATTTATTGCAGTTAATGTATGCAATTTATTTTGTAAACAGTATTAATTTTATATCATTTTTCTGTTTAGTGGATCTTTCGGTTTGTGGTCACAGCCGTCTGCAAGCCAAAATTGTAAACACCAATTTACGTCAGTGTTTACGTCCCGAATCGGGGTCATGAGAAAAAAAAATAAAGCCGTTTAACCTTGAGGAACTCAACAACCGATCACAGCAGACTTAACGTGTACAAATAAGATTTGCAGATATATGGCTTAACTTTCTGAGAAACGGTAACAAGTAGTACAGAATAACCTTGAGCAAGAAAACAACCAATCAGAACACGTTGCTCCTCTGCTAACAATAATGCCAATAATAATGTACATAAAAATCTATAAATATCTCTTGATTTTCTCAATAAACAGTATATTGCCTGGCTCTTGTCTTATGTTATTACAGGTTTGCACAGTATCGAATGAAGTGCTTATGCTGGCTGGCTGACTGGGTTGTGTGGTATACCTATTTCAAACGGTCTTAATATTCTAGCTGTTATTTCAGAGACAATTTTTCTTATATATGGTAGGATGGATTTTGTTCTGGTCGTTGATGTTGGTCTGTTGTTGTCGTCGTCAGTATTACGACTCAAGTTTGAACACTTTTTGATGAAATTGCAAGGATATCCATTCTTTTGAAGATGGTTTGGACAATCTGGTATCGTATGCAGTAAATCAGAATAAACTATTTCACCAGTGACCTTGCTGCGGGTTGTACAAATGTACGCATACCAACGTAAGGAAAAAAATATATATAACTCAAAAATCAATAATTGTTTTTTTTTAATAAACCTGAGTTTTTATTATTATTAGTAGTAGTATTAGTATTGTACTTACTTGTAACGAATGAAGACTAGTCACTTGTCTTTCTGGTGAATAACTTGAATCACGTTTATTATAACCCAAAGTTTGACATTGTGGACTGACCTTTAATAATAGCAATAAGGAGAAGAAATTTACTGTGAAACATTCGAATTTTTATTGAGATAACGAAAAAAAACTGGTTCATCAATATTAAAAGGTTAAACTACCCAGTTAACTCTTAATTCTCTTCGGACTCAGTTACATTGGATGGAAGTGAATTTTTTTTTATCCCCCAACGCTGTTTTCATTACTCCTTTGGACTGTGAGTGGAAAATGGAGTTTTATCAGCACATTTCTGATTTGTTTTGTTCTCTGCTGACGTCTTTAGTCGGGTCCACGATTGTGCATAATCTTCGAACACCTCTAAGTCACCCAATTCGTTGCCTTCCACTCGGATTCTACTGAAAGCGATAACCATGGCTTGTGCTATTTATTTATCTGTCTCCTAAGTGTGTCTTTAATCCATCTGTATTTTCAACGACATATTTATCAGGTCACAGGTGTTTGATTGTTTCATGCTCAGAGTTCCTTCCTGTTATTCCTTATTAGTTTGTTTATTAGATGTATCACACACAGTGAGTGAAGCAGTATTATTTACTGAATGAAAAGATTTCGAACAAAATTTACTTATTGTTCATAATTATAACATCAATTATGATCACACAACTTTGAAACTTGAGTTTTATAGTTTTTTTTGTCTTCTCCTATTTATCGTCGTTGGGGTAGTAGTATTTTCCAGATATCTGGGTGGACAGGTGTTGAATCATTCCTATTACATGTATTTGCAGTTGATTCGATAAACAAAGCTTCTGTTATCAATCTCTCCCTCCAACCTGTTGTTACACTAGATTTTAAAACTGTCATCCTATCCCATCCAGCCTGTTGTATGGTTGTGTGTGATTGCATGTAATGAGTGCTATAGCTGAACTATTCTCCAGATTTCTTATCTTATTCAGGTCAACTAATCTAGATTTGGTTGCTGGCTTTTTATGCTCTGCTAGTCTAACTGCCCTTGTTCTAATACTTTGATTCATGTATTTGACCTGACAATCATTGCAGGCAGGGTAACAGATAAACTAATATGGAGTTACAATGCTCAGGTTTTACACATATATTAATATTCCTTCCTGTTAATCCCGCCCGACTGGCCGTCTCGTCTTCAGTATAATCATGCATAAGTAAAAGCTGTTGGATAAAGTTTACAGCCTGTTAGAAATACTTTACGAGACCGATGCACCGGGTGTCTGAACTACTTAGAAGCAATGAATGACTCGATATTAGTGTTCTTTATTTATACTGAATGTAGCAGGCTTCAACACTGATTCTAACTTTAAGATTCTCATTCGTGTTACCTGTAGTTGAAGCATTACTCCCTCGATATGTGGGAGAAATAATCCTTATAATGAAGGTTTTTGTATTTTCCCAATAAATCGAAAGCAAAACGAAATTATCGTTGTTTTTACTGACGTTTTGCTATTTAATGCTGCTGCTAATAGCTTTATCAAAGTAGTAATATTAAACCAGAATTTACAAAATCCACTCAGCATATATATAACAAAGGGTTAAGGGGTGAGAAAATAGGTCAAGTTAAAAGGACATATTGAAAGTCAAAATAACAATGGAGATCACTAAACCAAATAAAAAAAGTAATAATACATCTGTTATGATATCAAAACGAAGTTTACTAACTTGATCATCGTTCGTCTATCTGGTGTCATTTTTCATTGTCATGCTGGTCTTTTGGTAAAGATAACAAAACTAAGTAGAGATTACTGTTGGATTTGATCAGTGTGTAAAATTATAAAAGTAGTGTCTGTTTACATAGTGAACTTGCTTATCATATTCGTGTTGATTTAGTCACTTCATAGGTGAGAGAGATGTGGTAACCAGAATCTAATCTGGTTACAACAACTCCCTCCCTTACAATATTTTGAGTGTCCTTTTCTAGTGGTTGTAGTTCCGAGATTGGAATCCAAATTGCATGAATAGGAATGATGGACTAAAACAGAATCTGACCTGGTTGCAACACCTCCCTCCCCTCCACCATGAAGTGACAAAATCAACACGAATATGATAAGCAAGTTCACTATGTAAACAGACACTACTTTTATAATTTTACACACTGATCAAATCCAACAGTAACCTCTACTTAGTTTTGTTATCTTTACCAAAAGACCAACATGACAATGAAAAATGACCCCAGATAAACGAACGATGATCAAGTTAGTAAACTTTATTTTGATATCATGACAGACGTACTATTACCTTTGTTATCTGGTTTAGTGATCTTCAGCGTAATTTTGACTTTCAGTATGGCTACCTTTTAACTTGACCTAAGTAGTCTGTTTTCTCACCTCTTAACTCTCTGTCAAATATATGCCGAGTGGATTTTGTAAATTCCGGTTTAATAACACCAATTTGATAAAGCTATTAGCAGCAGCATTAAATAGCGAAACATTAGTTAAAACAACGACAGTACCGTTTTGTTTTCGATTCATTGGGAAATACAAAAGTGGACGTCCCCTTCGTCTTCGTATCCACGAACATAAGCTCGCCGTCAAAAGACATGAAATCCACTATCTCCCTCATATCACTCACTCCACACAGACAACCACGGACATCAATTTGACTGGGACAACTTGCGTTCAAATATTAGACAGAGGAAACATCAAGAATGCTAGAGAATTTTTAGAAGCCTGCCTGGCATTCCACTGGATCATCGATCAGTAGACACATCGAGATAGACAAAATTTATCAACCAATAAGAAAGAAACTTCACACACAAAAAGTCAAAGTTCAAGTCAAAGAAACAACCGGTTTCAATACAAGTAACCTAGAAGATGTGAAAACACACATAAACAACCAATCACGTCCAAGGTCACCAGGAGAGATGCTTAATAAACTCGTGGAGAAATGTAAAAGCTCACTTCAATGAATTGAAGTATGCACTGAAGATGTCACCCAGTAAGGTGATGAAAGCTTCGCAAACTAACCATCCAGCTCAGAGAACAAAACCACATCGAAATACAAAAGCCTTTATTATAATGAATATCATATACCCAATGCCGAAACTTTTTCAAACCGTTAAAAGTGAACTTGCTTTGGATATATATGTGAAGAAATAATCCTTTTTTAAATTTCCCACCTCCCCCGCTTTGAGAGTGATTAATACTCATTTTGGTTGAATAGACATCTTTATTCCGTCTGCCCTTTATATATGTTCACTTGAATTCCTGTCTTCACTGCATCAGTCTTATTCTGCCAACTCGTTTGATTTTTCTGGGGTGGGGGTGGGGGTGGGGGGAGGAGTAGATTAAAGACTCTGCAGTTATTAGTTTCAATGAGTTCACTTCCATTGAATTCGATCTCACGGATTCCTAGCATTTCTATGCCATATCTTCTCATTTCTTTAGTAACCTGAACAGTCTTTTCAGCATCGTACATTGAGTGAACAGTCTTCATCCTCAGGCCTACATTTGTTTTTATCGAAAGGAGAAATATCGACTAACTTGCTTCTCAAAGACTTTCACCAGCCTCTATCATTCCATCTTTCTAATTCCACTGAAGAACAAATTCATTTCTTGTATTTCTGCAGTGATTTCAGCCTTCTGTGGCGATTAGGTTGATTCTCCTGGGAAGGATAGCTAGACTGACACTCAACCATCTATCTTTCTTTCAGATGAGAACTGCTGAGAACGCTATGGGGTCCACTTATTGTGTGACGGTTAGTGACGCTACCAGGTTGCCTAGACTAAAATAGGTGAGTGGTAGTTTAGACCCTAGGATCAGTACTTACAAGTAAAAAGGCTTAAGTCAGGAAAAGCCATAACTGTGTAGACTTCTAGGTAAGGAAGAATTACAGTGCCAATGTCAAACATCTTCTTGATAGAGGTGATGACATGAAAATCGAAAAATCATTTAAAATTGTCAGCAGACAAAAAAAGCTCAAGATATCATCATGAGCTGACATTAGTTAGAGAACCATTGGAAAACCTGGGAGTACTGGACAGCTGTTTCGTCCTAGTTTGGGACTCTTCAGCAGTCCGCACCCGCCGGGATTCGGGTGTGAGGACAAATACTCGCCAAAGACATTGGCTAGCGGTCGCGCTATGTCGTGAATTGGCAGAAGTTAGAATTCAAGGACCATTGGATCGAGTCCCAGTGACTTAATAGTATACGAGCTCGCCTTGTAACCGGAAGGTCCTGGGTTCGAACCCCATGGTGTGGGTGCGTACTGCTGAAGAGTCTCAAACTGGGACGTAGGAAACAGCTGTCCAGTACTCCCAGGTGGGTGTCCAATGGTTCTCTAACTAATATCAGCTCATGATGAAATCCTGAAACCAATCAAATCCCTAAAAACCAACACTTGAGAAAAAGCTCAGTTCTCCTTAAGTTTAACGAAGCAATGGTTGTGAAATGCCTGCAACCCGATTTATATGTTCAGAAAGAATCAGTTGGCAGTCTTTCTTTACTCCGCCTGGTAACTGAATGTCGTTATTCTCTCTTCTTTTTTGAACTACGTGATCTTTGGCTTTAACCTCAACCCCACCCACCTTTTGATGTTGTGTAATTTTGCTTATCTCTTGTTTCTATGGTTTGAGTTGTACTCAGTACATTGTTACCCCATTTGTAAGTCACCTATTATGTAACAAACCTCTCCTCTTTATTACGTAACTTCTTTACCACTGTACACATATATTTACTTCACTTCAACTTGAACTCCCTGTGTAAATTCTATATAAACATAGTTTTCTGAGCACTGTCGACGAAATATCATGTATAATTTGAAAGTATGTTAAACCTTTTCCGTACATGAATTGAATAGTAATTTATTCAGGTTGTAAGCAGCTGACTGAGGTTGTAATATATTGTTATGAAAACTAGTGTTCTTGCTATTAAATTGAATTTGAGATTTTCCCGTCGATTAATTGGACCGAAGTGCTTGGTCTCAGGTTGACATATCGGCAGATACAGATGCTTCGACGATGTCTGGACATTTAATTTGAATTAATTTGTGGATGGTGACTAGCAGTGGAATTCAGCTTGATGCCCATAGTTTCAAATGTCAAAGTGTTATCCCCTAGACCACTTGGACCACGAGAAGCGGATATGTCAACCTGAGACCGAGCATTTCGGTCCAATCAATCGACGAGAAAATCAAAAATTCAATAAAATTAATATGACCCGTTGCACAAGAGGTGGCTCTCGTGGCCCAAGTGGTCTAGTGGATAACGCTTTGGCGTTTGAAACTATGGGTACTGGGTTCGAGCCTCAGTGGGAACATCATCACTTACTGAGAAATGGAGGTACATCCAGCTGGGAGACGAGTCCCAAATAAGACGAAATGCGCACTGTCCTCGATTCCACTGCTAGTCACCATCCACCAGTTAAATTCTAATTAAATGCTCAAACATCGTCGAAGCATCCGCACAAGAAGCCAACAGACATGTCAACCTGAGACTGAGCACTTCGGTCCAATCAGTCGACTGGAAAGTCACAAAAAAGAAATTCAATTGAATAATTAATATGAACCGCTGCACTAGAGGTAGCTGTCTCGGGCATTGGGTTTGAACTTCGGTAGGAACATTATCGTTCACTGGGGAATGCAGGTATATCCAGCTAGGAGACGAGTCCCAAATAGGATGAAATGCACATTATCCTGGATTCCACTGCTAGCCACCGTCCACAAATTAAACACTTGTTCTTGCTTAACTCAAATTTATTAGTCAGAGGATATACAACTGGTCCACACTAGATTGGTAGTGAGCCGGCTATTCCCACCCTCGGGTCTTTGTTTCCCACTTCACGAAATGCATATCAATGACTCCACGGCATACTGAATAAAAGCTGCTGTCAATTATGTCACGCCAGTGCTTCAAACAGATTGAAAATTTGATCAACAGTTAGTTGCCTTCGATGCTTCCAAAATGATAATCAAATAGTTGGACTGAGTGACATTGCACACCAGGTTGTTGAGTGGGACCTCAAAGGGAAACAATGAGTTAGGTATGTGTTCCCCAAGGTGACATAGAGGAAGCTGTGTAAGGAGGAAGACTCGCTACAAAAGATTAAATCGAATAATGCGTGTAAAATTGCGATGTTTTGCTGGGGCGTCTTGTTGCAGCCAGAATCCACGGGAAGAGTAACATAATAATAAGAGTAGTAGTAATAAAAATAACACTAATGAAGTGTTACAATTTTATTGACTCACCTTAATACAGTGTACAGGTTCAGATGATCGAGTTTGATTTGTTAGAGTTGCTTGATAGTTCACAGGTTGTCTAGTCTGTGACTTAATCACTACATGATCTTGTGCTGTATGAATTTGTTTCGGTGGGTGTGTTTTACGTCTTTTCAACTTTGGGAATTTCGGTGGCCAGTTGTAAACTTCACTGCATTTGTAGTGTTCTGCTATCGGTTTTGGTTTACGTGGTTTCAATGTTCCATTACGACTATATTCATCATATTGTAGTGTTCCTGCCATAACACCACCAGATGCTGATACTGGTCGATACACATGAATTCTTTCACGAAGTCTACTTGGATAATCTGTAGGCTGTAGAGTGTAGGTTATAAAGAAGAGAAGGTAATTAGTGTATGTGTGTTCTCCATTAAATCGTAATTTATGCATATACTGACATGATAACCTGATTGGACAATTTTCGATTCGTTTATTTATGGCTTAACTTTCTGAGGGATTTCTGGATGTCAGACAACCAATCAGAGTTATTTATTTCTGGTTTTAATTTCTGAGGGTTTTGTGTAAACACACTATGCCCTATTTTCTGACTTTTGAGTCTATCTCAGTGTGGGAGATATTCCCAAGGAATCAGTTGGTTAGGGCGTTTTGTTGTTTCTAGTGTTCTTCGAGTAGTTGTCATGATGTGAGTCTTTTTATTTAACTCTATTAAGAATTACACGAATCTTCGAAAAACGCATAATTAAAATATACATCAATCTCAAGCTGATTAATGGCTGCTGGGTGGTATGACGTTCTGAAGCTACCCGGAAAAGTCGTGGCCAGTAGGGTACACTATATCATGGTGTAAATCGAATGCACATTGACAGCATTGGTTGGTTCAGGGTAGCGCTACGCATCACAAATTGACGAAGAAATAATCCACATAACATCGAATCCTAGAGGCCAAGGTGGCTGAACGATGGCACACAAGCTTGCTTTTGTGGTTCGAAAGTCCCAGGTTCCATCTCTTACGGGGTTAACGTCATAGGTGTGTACTGTCGGAGTTGTTCAATGTTCTAAGTGAGGTTAGTGCTTGACGAAATCTCACTCTCGAATAACAGTGTTTACAAGTGTTTGTAAATAGCACACCTACATAATGTTCAATAAATTCCAGTGAAGTAAAATTCACCTTCTGTGTTAACGAATTATTTAGTTAAAAAAAATCACCATTAGGAATTTCAATCAGGTAAAGTTAAATTTTAAGCACCACTGACTAACTACCAATCAGCGAGTGACCTTGAACCCACCAATCACGTGAAGGAGGCAATTTTGGTTGTATGGAATACGTATATTTATGAAAAAATTGCACACACAAAAGCTGTATAAAAGTGGTAATAAAAGTGTGATAAAAATAGCTCTCAGTTTTAGGTTAGAGTATATAAACAGAGTCTAATTCCATTCTGGGTGTTATACAGTAATATTTACTGATGATCATGTTTCGAGCACAATATACTGCTCAGTAAATATTACTGTATAACAACACTGTAAGATGTTATCAAAATAAATTTTACCCACAATGAAATTGTACTCTACCGCACAGTGCACAAGTTCTATTCTTATATCAACAGAGCAATTTAATCACGTTCTTTTCAAGTAATTATTTAGGTCTTCTAACCCTAACCTCAACACTAATCTTTCCTAAACTGAGCCTAAACTAACTGTAATCTAACTGGAACCAACCCAAATGTCGCCTTTATTAGGTCAACATATAACCCTAACTTGTCCTTAGCCTAAAGCGTATATTAATCGTTCCCAGACCTTAGCTGAAACTTGCCAGATATCCCATTTAATAGATAACATAACACTTCGATGAGAATATTTTATTGATGATGACAACATTATTTGCGTTTCAAGGTCATTTGTGCGGTCGCGCTCCGTTGATAGTTAGTTAGTGGTGCTTAAAGTTTAACTTGGCCTTCCATTGATTTATTGTCGAACGAAGATGATTCTTTTGGATGACCTGCTCTTCTTTATCAGCTTCTACGCACCCACCGGGGTTCGAACCTAGGACATTCTGGTTACTCTTAATGACAATATTAATGTGTTGTTAAAGGTTACATTGAATGACTGACATCAGAATTCCCAAAGGTCTGTGCAAACAGATTGTTGATAGATTATAATCCAAAGTATGCGGGTTTGGTAATATGTAAAAATGTAACACCACAATTTAACACAAGTATTCCAAAGCTAAGGATTATGAATAACAACGAATATATATAATACAGAATTCTCATGAATCAAGCTACTAAAGAAGGGCGACCTACGCTTCACTCTGCAAGAACTGACTGACTTGGAATGATGCTCTTGTCCACGCCAAGTAAATCACTAAGTCGCATCATCCTGCAGAGAATAAAAGATGCACTGGAAGCGGAACCCCGCTAGCTCAGCACAATCTGGATCCAAGAAGGACAAATCATATGCTGATCAAATTGAAACTCTATTCCTCAACATCGTTGAACAAAACAAACCTCTTTCCACCTTAACTTCATCGACCTCGAAAAGGCCTTCACAGACAGTGTTGACCGAGAAGTAATTTGGAAACCGCTTCAACACTACGGTGTGCAGTGCCCAAGTCATTATCAATCTCACCCAAAAACTGGCTATGTGACAGTGCCACACGTCAGGTGATCAACAATGGAAAACTCAGCGAGGTGTTCGAAATGAATACAGGAGTTGGACAATGCTGGCTCCCTATTATCACCGATGTTATTCCTAATTGTTGTGAACTGCGTTATGAGCCGGACTGTTCACAGGGAGAGAGAAGATAGGAATACGCTGCAGTGATCGATAAGAAGACTCTATGAAATCTGGATTTTGTGCATGGATGATTTATCTTTAGTGTAACACAAAATTGAAGACTTGCAGGCGAAAACCGACAAAACTGGCAGAATAGGATGGCGGCGAAGACAGGACTTCAGGTGAACGTATGCAGGAGACAGAGGTGATGAAGATAACCAACTACTACCGATGGCAACAGCAACAACAACCAGCACTAATCAGAGGTCACTTATTTCACTTATCCGGCTACGAAGTACGGTTTCAACTATTGGTACACGGCAGGGGTAAACATGACAAAGCCAGCCAGAATCGGAAAGGCACAATACACCTTCATCACTTTGAAACCAGTTTAGAAATCTCCTGCACTCTATCTCAGCATGAGGGACAAAATTCGGGTTTTTCAACACAAATGTGAAGTCAGTCACTCAGTCAGTTCTTCTATAGTGGTCATAAACTTGACCAGCTTGTCGCAAAAGGGATTTCCAACAGGCCACTACAGACTTTAATCAACAGTGGCCTTCCCTGGCTCCATAGTGAAAGTTAAATGGTTGAATTACCGGCCAAAAAGAATTAACAACAAGGAATTCTGCTGTGGAACAAACCAACAGGCGACAATCGATTGCTGAACAATCATGTAGGAGAAAATGGAGATGGGCCATCGCTCGAGTGAGTCGTCACTGCAAGAGTAACATGGAAATTGTGTGGAGAGGAGGAAGGACCTATGTTCCACACGGGATCCGAGGGAATAATAATAATAACATTGATAACTAGGGACAGGGGAATTTATATGTGCAGGATAGAGGGCTATATCAAAAAAAGGTCAACGTAATAAGATATTTATGAACTTGCAAACTCCACAGCTGGCCAGGGCCACGGTAGTCATTGGACCTGTTTCTTCTGTACTCACAGCACCCATTGTCTGAGGAAAATCACTATCTCCTCTGTTGTTTGAGTATTCGGTACATGGATGCTTGTAGCAGGTTATTTGTTACTCGACAGATGATGTATAATGATACCCAATAAATAACACCAATTACAAAACAAACAGCAACAATAACAGAAAACAATCAGCATAAACCTAAAAGAAAAAACCTCCTCTACCTACCTGGGAAGCATCGTTTCTACTACAGACGGAACTGACGAGAATATCAAAGCAAGACAAGCTTTCATTACACTCAAGTCTGTGCGGAGGTCAACAGCACTCAGCATCAAAAATAAGATCCGGATTTTCAACTCCACTGTGAAGTCAGTGCTACTTACTTTACGGATCAGAGACTTGACGCGTCATAAACAGTCTCTCGAACAAACTACAGAGCTTCATTAACAGTTGTCTTCTCTCAATAATACTCAAGATCAGATGGCCGGCCAGAAAAGATCAGCAACAGGGATCTCTGGAAGCAAACCAACACAGCAGGAACCGAATGTGAAACAAATAGGCAGGAAGAAATGGAGATGGATTGGCTATAATCTGAGGAAATTATCAAGTGACATCACTAGACAAACCCTCGAGTGGATCCTGATAGAATTGGAATCGGCGCGAGTGCAAGGGTGACTTGGAGGAGTTCATGTGAAGAGTAGATGAAAGCGTGTGGGCAGACTTGGAGCCGGGTGAAGAAAGTTGGCAGAGAACCGAACGCAGTGGAGACGCGCGGCTGAAGCCCTATGTTCTTCTAGGAATTAAAGGAAATAATAATAATTGCAGAACAACCACATTCACATATCTTTTGATTTATAACTATAGGAATTCTGATTTCACTGATTCGACGTAACCTCTGAAAAGAAGACACATCAGTGGATATATAACTGTGGAAACTGACAATAAAGAACAGGTTATCGTACGGAATATTCCTTGTTCAGCAATTCACCAATCATGTTCCAGTCTTTCAACAATCAAAACTCACAAACTTACAATATATTACTGAAGAAAATGATATAAAAATTGCCCATGTAACGCTAGATGATACAATGAGGTGGAGCGTAAATTAAAGAACACTCAAATATGCAAAAAAAGCATCTGATTTTTGAGTAAGTTCACATGAAAGGTGTAGAATCATTTAATAAGGGCATATATATATATATATATATATATATGTATCCACAGTGTTAATTAACAACAAACAGTGAGCAGTTATATTTAGAAGAAAAATGAAAATCAAAGTGTATAAGTGATAAAGGCATGTGGGGAATTTTTGCAGAATAATTACGTAATCGAGAAGGTTGACAGGTAATTAGTCATATTAAAAAAACACATTTATTTCCCAATACGAATTTAAAACAAGCAATAAAGGTTGAAACCTCGCCTAGACTACTAGCTCGCTAGTTTTCTAGCCACTCTCAAGCCCGGATAAAAAAGGGAGGGTTGGAGCATGGTGCTAGCAACTCCACCCCTGCAGAACTCAACCAAATCGCTACAGAAACTTCAATGCATAAATATATTGAAAATTTTAAAAATATAAACAGTAACCTCATTTTTCGCTGAAACTGGGGAAGTAAAATGACACAGGCTGGTGAAAGCCTTTGGGAAGCCAGTCAGCCGATGTGTCTTCTTTCAATGAAAGCAAAAGTAAGGGTGGGGACTTGGAATGTTCGTACAGTGTACAAAAACGGAAAGGCTGCCCAGATAGCCGCAGAAATGAGAGAGTATAGAATAGAAGTGTTGGGAACCTGCGAAAGCAGATGGAACGGAACTGGAAGGTGCCAACTACCAAATGGGGTGACAATAATCTATTCCGGCCACCCAGAGGACAATCACGAGCACACAGAGGGAGTGGTCATCATGATGTCACCAGCAGCAGCCAAAGCTCTCAATACAAACATCAAGTCAGTTATTCTATACGGATCAGAAACTTGGTGGGTCACAAAGAACATTTCCAACAGGCTAACTCAGACCTTTATCAACAACAACTGTCTTCGCTCTATACTAAAGATCAGATGGTTGGGCCGGAAAGAATCACAAACAACGAACTATGGGAACAAACAAAACAAGAACCAATCGCCCAACCAACAAATATGCAGGAGAAAGTAGAGATGACACACTAGACACTCGTTGAGGAGGCCGCTGAGTGACATCGCGGGTCAGGCCCTTGAGTGGAACCCAAAAGGGAAACGGCGAGTGGGACGCCAGTGCAAGGGTGACATGGAGGAGATCGTGTGAAGAGGAGTTGAAAGAGTATGGACTAACATGGATGCAAGTGAAAAGTACAGCAGAAGGAAGACAGAAGTGGCAAGTGGAGACGTGCAGTCGAAGCCCTATGTTCTACTAGGAACCCAAGAGAACAATAATTATAATAAAGGCTGATATAGGAGGACTTAATGATGGATTCATAAAATTTCGGTAGAACTGGTCAACGAGTAGAGAATCACCTTTCTGTACCACCTATGTATTTGCCTCCACAAACACACTCAGAATTGTTGTAAGCAGCAGTTTTAGGATTGGCGTATATCAATTTGAGTGTGTTTGTGGAAGCAAATGCATAGGTCATACAGAAAGGCGATTGTCTACTTGCATGATGGAACATTCGCCAAAATGGTTGGTTGAAAATAGCTAAGTGCAAATTGACAAAACCCTCAATAACAAAACATCTTGTGGACTATGGATATGATATCGATGCTGTCAAGTCATCCACTGTTACAGTCAGCAGAAAAAGAAACAGGAAGATGCTCGGCATGCCAGAGGCTTGTGGATCTCGAGTTTATGAACCAGGTACAAAAAGGGATGGTCGTGACTCTGAATCTACCATGGTAACACGTTTTACTTGTTATTATTATTCTTGACTCATCGAAAACTATCCTTTATCAGTAGGACTTTGTTAACACACTTCAACACTATTCAAATGATGGTTTTTAGGGATTTGATTGGTTTCAGGATTTCATCATGAGGTGACATTAGTTAGAGAACCATTGGAAAACCTGAGAGTACTGGACAGCTGTTTCCTACGTCCTAGGTTGGGACTATTCAGAAGTACTCACCCATCGGCATTTGAACCCAGGACCTTCCGGTTACAAGCCTAGTGAGCTCGTATACCATTAAGCCACTGGGACCCAATCCAATGGTCCTTGAATTCTAACTTCTGCCAATTCACGATATAGAGCAACCGTTAGCCAATGTCTTCGGTGGCGAGTATTTGTCCTCATACCCGACCGGCTGCACCCTACTAGTCACGACTTCCCACTGGATCCCAGGTAACTACCTACCTGAACAGGGCGTACTGATGAAGAGTCCCAAACTAGGACGAAACAGCTGTCCAGTAATCCCAGGTATAACCCTGATCCTATCTTACCTCAAAACAAGTTTAAGCGGGTTGATTCTCAAGCCTCGGTTAGCAGAGATTCTATTCATTACAGGTTTGACCACGATCTGACTGATTTCGGTTACAGAACATTTGGGAAGCCTTCAGAAAGTACTTAGCATAGCTGTTTCCTCCTTGTTTGAGACTCTTCGGCGGTACACATCAGCCAGGATTCGAACCTATGACTTTTAAGCTGAGCTTGTAGACCATTCAGCTACTGAGATCCTATCCTGCAACCCATGAATGCCAACTTTTGGAGATTCGCCATATCTGTATATAGCGCAAACCTTAACCAGTTTCGTTAGTGGGTGACTTTCCTTTTGCCTGACTTTTTGGACCCTGCTGTTCATGACTTTCCATTAGGACACTAGGTCACTATTGGTGCAGGACCAGTCGTTGGTGAGTGAACCTCAGGTTAACTTTGAAATGTTAGTTTCCAGAGATTTGATTGATTGTAGGCTTAAACACGAGTGGGATTCTTCTTCACTGAGTGTAAGGATGAAAACACGAATTTGCAACACCAGTATCAAACTGGTGGTTCTATTTTGATGTGGTTGTGTTCTCTGAGCTAGCTGGATAGTTAATTTCCGAAGCTTTCATCACCCTACTAGGCGACATCTTCAGTGCATACTTCAATTCATTGAAGTGAGCTTTCACATTTCTCCACGAGTTTATTAAGCATCTCTCCTGGTCAGTGACCTTGGACGTGACTCTTTGGTTGTTTTTATGTGTTTTCACAGCTTCTAGGTCACTTGTATTGGAACTGATTGTTTCTCTGACTTGAACTTTGACGCTTTGTATGTGAGGTTTCTTTCTTATCGGTTGGTGAATTTTGTCTATCTCGATGGGTCTATTGATTGATGATTCACTGGAATACCAGACAGGCTTCTAAAAATTCTCTAGCATTCGTGGTGTTTTTTCTGTCTAATATTTGAACGCTAGTAGTCCCAGTCGAATTGATGTCCGTTGTTGTCTGTATGTGTGATGAGATAGTCGATTTCATGTCTTTTGACGGCGAGCTTATGTTCGTGGATACGAAGACGAAGGGGACGTCCACTTTGGTCAATGTAGTGTCTTTCGCAGTTGTTACAATTTATTTTGTAGATGATGTTGGTTTTATCTTCTTTCGCTGTTGAGTCTTTTCATTGATATAGAATTGAGTGAAGTAACTTTGTTGGTTTGTACACGGCGTCAATTCCTGAAGGTTTGAAGAGTCCTGTAATAATTTCTGAGATATCCTATATCTATGTCAACCAAAAGACTCAACAGCGAAAGAAGACAAAACCAACATCATCTACAAAATAAATTGTAACAACTGCGAAAGACACTACATTGGCCAAAGTGGACGTCCCCTTCGTTTTCGTATCCACGAACATAAGCTAGCCGTCAAAAGACATGAAATCCACCATCTCCCTCATATCACTACATACAGACAACAACGGACATCAATTCGACTGGGACTACTAGCGTTCAAATATTAGACAAAAAAAACACCAAGAATGCTAGAGAATTTTTAGAAGCCTGTCTGGTATTCCGGTGAATCATCGATCAATAGACACATCGAGATAGACAAAATTCATCAACCGATAAGAAAGAAACCTCACACACAAAGCGTCAAAGTTCAAGTCAGAGAAACAATCAGTTCTAATACAAGTGACCTAGAAGATGTGAAGACACATAAAAACAACCAAAGAGTCACGTCCAAGGTCACTGACCAGGAGAGATGCTTAATAAACTCGTGGAGAAATGTGAAAGCTCACTTCAATGAATTGAAGTATGCACTGAAGATGTCGCCTAGTAGGGTGATGAAAGCTTCGGAAATTAACTATCCAGCTAGCTCAGAGAACACAACCACATCAGAATCATCCACCTGAGCTAGAAATCTTCTCTATCATATGCAAATCTTACGAGTGGGTGGTTCTATATTGTTCAGAGATTTGGTTCAGACATCCATCATCAAGAGCGTTTCTAATATTCTACAAACTGTCATCAATGACTGTCTTGACTCTATGCTAATGAGCAGATGACCAGATGGTCAGAAAGGATAACCAAGAAGGAATTCTGACGACGAACCGACTAAGAAAATTATTGGAAACATTTATTTCCTGATATGATTTTGAAACGAGCAACAGAAGTTGGTAAAACAGGATTTAATGAATGCATCAAATATCGGTAGAACTCTTCATCTGCGCAAGAACGTATTGCCTAGCAGAAAGGTTGAAGTAAGTCAGGATAAATCAGATTCACTTCGAGGAGACCGTTGATTAATATCACATACCAAGTGGATCCTAAGGTGAAACGAAATGCTTAAAGACAAGCTAGGAGTGTGTCCAAGGTGACAGCATGGGAAGGACAACCACAATGTCATCTGAAAAGGACTACAAAGAATAGTGTGTATAAACTGGAGGTGTACTGCTGAAGTGCCACGTTCCACTCAAAAACCCAAAGGAGTAATATCAAATACATATATAAAAATGGCTAAAATTATAACTATAAATAAATGAAGATAAATGGATATATATATACATATATAAGTTTTGCCTAGTTCTTTTCTAAATCGATTACTTAATCAATTTATTTCTTACTCTCATTGTTTGTATTCGACGACTTTCATACGGATATTGTTCATACTCTTGTGGATATCTTCCATCCAAACTGCCAGATACATTGTACGGCTCATCAATTCTTTGATCTGCTCGCATTGTATACGAATAATAGTGTGGTTGATATTGACCTTGTATAGTCTTTATTCCATAATATCAGAGGTAATACAACATGAAGGTGTAGTTAGGATAGATTGCGCCAGAGCAGAGCAGAGCAGGATAGGACAGGACAGGATGGAAGAGGACAAGGGTGAAGTGGAATACATGAACAATGCATTACCGAATAGCGATATACAATAATGATAGATAGATAGACAGATAGATAAGCGAGGTTAAAGTAATCTGAATAGGCTAATTTACTTTTAAATAAGACTGAGTCTTGAATACTACTGAATTTCGTGTTTCAGTAGTTACCTAAAGAGCAGAAACAGACTAGAAGCTATATATTGTCATGCGATTATGCATTCCTCACAAGCAAGCAGTTAACGAGACATAAGATACTGGGGTAGAGCATACAAGTGGCATGCAAGTGATAAGATGAATCATGACTGGAACTAGTGATAACATCTTAATAATAATATGACTGTGTATGAAGCAGTGTCTCTGTTCAGCACAATCTAACTCATTCAATAAACTCATGTTGTGGTGAAAGCAGGCTGCTAGCCAATTGGTAGACATTCATTTACGTCAATGTCTAGGTCAATTATGTTGGCCGTGAGAGAATATGAACAAGGCTGATTCAACAACCAGTCACAGCAGACTTAACGTGGAAAATTAGATTCTCAGATGTATGGCTTAACTTTCTGAGAAACCAGAAACAACCAATCAGAAGACTATGTTTGTCTGCTTGAATAAGCTATATAAATGTTCAGGAAATATATATAAATACTTGTTGATTTCCGCAATAAAACAATCTGTTGCCTGCCCTTGTCTTCCGTTGTTACAATGTGATCATAAAAATAGAAGTTGTTCAGATAACTTCTACCCTCCATACTTTTTTCTTTTATAACTCTAAGAGACAGAGTCATTTTAATGGAACCCATCAAGCTTTTCGCCCGTAGCTGGGTCTCTTCAGAAGGGGGAACCAACAAATCTTGAAGTTATGATCCGTGGTTTGCAGTAGGCGAGATGTTTGGAAACGTAGTCATCGAAAGGCACATCCTACATTTGGATTCCAGTTAGCAATGAAAGCTGAAGAAATCAGTGATGGAGCGAATCCTTTTTTAATGGGTAGAATAATTGACTCTACCACAGGGCTTATGGGTGAGGCAGGGGAGGGGGTTATATATCATTACAAGATTGGAAATAATCCTTTCTAAAGAGTTCTAATAAATTTGAATGGAAGGCAGTTCCAAGGCTTCCTGACAAGCAGACTAACAACAGGGAATCTCATATCAACTGGATTCTTTCAAAGTTGTACTCTATTCTGTGTGAAAAATGATTTCATTGCCAACCAGCTATTGAATACTTATTCTGAAAGCTTAATTTAGATTATCATGTGACATTTTTTCGTCAAGGCTTCGAGCTCTTTAGCAGTAAATAACTTTGGATTTACTAGAGATTGAACACAAGACCATTTCATCCCTAGCTGAACACGTCCACACCCAACCACTGTATTGAAGTCGAACAGCACACGACTAATAGCTTTCATCACCTTAGAAATCATGTATTCTGATGCCTATCTTAGTAGACCTTACTAAAAGTCCTAGGAAAATCATCCCATAGGCAGTAAAAATCAGCACATGGTACGTTATCACTATCCACTTATATTTTCCTTATATCTGATTTTGTCAGCCCGGCGTAACCAAGCCAACTGAGCTAAGTGAAAGGTGGTTTTATGGGGTAGTTCTTTATGACAACCACTGGTCGATTGAAGCAGAATATTAGAGTTTGAAACTAGAGAACGTAGAAAGAGAGAGAGGTGGAAAAGTGGGTAACCTGATCGCCTGTAACACAACTCAGCAATAGTGTGGTTGTGTTATACAGACGATGTGTTCCAACGGAATATGATTCTTACATATTTCCACGGTTCGAAACCGCGTTAGTAACAGAATATTCTGCCCATGTAAATTTGAACATTCTATTTCATGTCGTTTAGTGTCTTACCTACTGATGTTACAATGGTAACTACGTTAAATGCTTGATGGGTAAATACCACTAGCAATTTCGCATGACATTTCACTGAATAGAATGCCTTTACTGATATTGTAACATCCGTGAAGAAAAGAATGGATTATAATAATCATCACATTACACAGATGACATCAAGAAAGTTCATGTAGACTATGCAATCAAAAGAGTTGCTATTCTATAAGATGTAAATAGGTATTAAGTGAGTGATGGCAATTAGTAGGGAGCCTTAGAACCCAGAAGTTTTCAGAAGGACACGTCTCTGCCATCTTAGAAAAGATTTCACCTCTGACAGTTGAATCAGCATATTTGAACAGTGCCTGCTTTCTATCTTTTGTGTGTGTGTGTTAAGAGGTAGAATAGGGTGAGCAATATTAAGGTAAGACATCATTCGAGTGCTTGTTATGGAGGGAGGGGAAGTCAGTAGACTAGGCTGTGAAGTTACACCGGTTGAGATGGTTAGGTATGCCTAGCCATCGCATTCCCCAACACCGGGCGATTGTTAACTGACATAAGGTCAGGCTGGAAAACAACCAATAGTGGTCAAAGCAAAACATGGCTTCATCAGTCAATGAAATCCACAACAATCAGCTTAAACCACGTAGAAAGGTGTAGACTGCCGTTTTGTTTTGGGTCCTATGGCTAAAAATCGTTCCAATTGGCTGGCGCAGATTCATCCACTTCTTGTGAATTATAACACCCAATAAAATTATATTGTTCTTCGATAATACTGTTCTTTTTGTCTCATATTTCTGATTTTGTGGCGCCTCGAACTGCTGCACTTCGGTGTGAAGTTCTGTTTTGAGTCCCAGTCAGTCAGTCAGTCATTCGAGCCGTCTACTGACCTCCTCTATACCGCTAATGCATACCTTAGTCTAATCCTCGTGGAGAAATCAACCAGTCCACATTTCTACACATAAGACGAATGATTCAATATTATCACTAGTGAAGCCCAAATATAGAGACTGATAGTTTTATGCAGATATTTACAAACTAGTGGTATACATAGAAAAATAGAAGCCTTCCGAATCCAGCTATTCCGTGCAAAATAAAAAATATCATCAACAAGGCAAGAAGCTGCATGGAATACAAAAGCATAATGCATAAGTAACTAGCTGATATAAGCATTCTGATAATATATATAAAAACAATGCGTCTAGTGTTATACCGGATAGATACTACTTATAGTTGTGAAATTCAGTAGCATAGTGTGTTAGTGTGCATTAATAAAAGATGACAGAGACAGAATCGAGTAACTAGGGGATATATTATTATTATTATTATCCTGTAGTTTCGAGAGGGACACAGGGCTCTAGCCAGAGGTCTCTAGTCCGTTCGGTTCTCTGCCAACATTTTCACCTGACTCCCTGTCTGACCACATGCTTTCATGTCCTCTTCACGTTACCTCCTCCTCATCCTCCATGTCACCCTCGCAATGACGACGAACTCGCCGCTTCCTGTTTGGGCTCCACTTAAGCTATTGTCTGGTGTGTGATTTCACTCATCAAATGGTTTTCTTGGAGTATAGTAGCACTGACTTCACATTGGAGTTAAAAATCCGAATGTTATTTTTCATGATAAGTGCAGATTGTTGATCTCTACACAAACTTGAGAGAAGTGAAGGCTTTCCTTGCTTTCCCGATCCTCGATGCTTTGATATGCTGATCAATTCCGTACGCCTGTAGTTGAAACGATGCCTCCCAGGTAGGTAGGTAGGTATGTAGGTAAATAAACGAGGTTGCCTCTTTCAGGTTTCTCCCATTTATGCTGATTGTTGCTTCTGCTGCTGTTGGCCAGGAATCTTCATCACCTCTGTATTCTTTTACCAACTTGTTGATTTTCACTTGCATATCCTCTGCTTTGTGGGAAATCAGACAGAAAGTGTTTTTATGTGGGTCCATTTTATGCCTGTTCCCTCACTGCCCATTGTCTATCGAAATCAGGAAGTTAATCATAGGAGATAGTAGGCAGCCAGCCAGCCTTTTCTTACTCCCGTCTTCACTTCTAAGGATTCCGTGAGTTTCCCGTTGTCGATTACTTGGCATGCACAGCATTATCACACAACTGTAGGATGAGGTGTATAATTGTCAGCGGTATCCCGTAGTAGTGAAGTAGTGGTAGTTCCAAAACACCTCTCGATCGAAGCTGCGCTATCGAAGGTATTTTCAAAGACGATTAAGTTGAGTGAGGCAGAAAGCTGACTACCAGGTCAAGCTCTGTGTCAGGGAATATATCTTTCTTTTAAAATTCTTCTTAAATAAATGTTAGTTTCATAATTAGGGTTTCTTATCGTTGCTTTTGTTATTTGTAGGTGAGGGATGCATTCAGCTAATTAGGCTCAAATATACAGCTACTACTGATTAAGTGTGAAGTAGCATTATCAGTAATTGTGGCGTTGTAGAAAGCAGCATAGTTAAACATGCTTGTGTCAGTGTACGTGTGTGTGTGTGTGTGGTTGGTTGGGTATCTATTTTTGGGTTTGTGCGTTGGTGATACTTTCTTCATGTTATCGCATCATCAAAACTTAAAAAATGGATTTCAGTTCACAAGACTAATATATATATAGAATTCAAGGGATATTTTGACATACGAAACATATTCTTTTGAATAAGTAGAATTCCATTTGAAAGGCATACAGGAGTAAAACAAGGCTGCCTGCCTATTATCACCGACGAAGATATTCTTCATTGTAGTGGACTGGATTATGCGTCAAACTGTTGAGAGGGGGGGGAGGAGTCAGGAATACACTGATTGACCGTTAAGAAGACTCCAGAAGATCTGGATTTCACAGATGATATATGTCCAATGTCACAAAAGCTCGAAGACTTGAAGGCGAAAACCGGCAAACTAGCAGAAATAACCGGCAGTGACGACGGGACTCCAGGTGAACATAGAGAAGGTGGAGATGCAAGTGATGAATATAACCAATTAACAGCTACAATAACCAGCAGCAATCACCATTAACGGAGAAGATTTAACAGAGGTTTCCGCCTTCGCTTATCCAGCTAGGA